GAGGGGGCAGAGGGGGACCGGAGAAGGAGGAGGGAGATGTAGGGAAGATGGTAATATCAGGATTCTGGAGGAAGTTGCATTGGAACTTGGGGAGATAGGCATGGACATAAAATTTTCAAATTATAGGGACTTCAGCACATTGGGGGAAGTTGGGGGAGCTGAGACTGTAGGCAATAAAAATTGCCTTTAAATTCTTATCAGAGAAGTTCAGAACAAAACTGCTAAAACCTCGTCCGAAATAGAAAAAAGGGGAAAAACACTGATAAAAAGGGGAAAACGCAGATATCTCCCAAACCGTAAGGAATTTGGCGAAATGGAGGAAGCGAAGCGAACCGAAGCCTTCGGCTAGGTTCGGATGGCTCCGTCTCGTCGAGATAGGCGATTTTCATATATAATTCGTCCAATTCCGACTTACGGTTTGAAAGTTACGGCCTATTCTTCGATCCATGCTCAGGAGCTCGCCTGCAGCTCGAATTTCGCCTGCACGATCAAGACCCAAGTCTGCCTGCACACCTGAGCTCGCCTGCAGACCCAGTTCGTCTGCAAGATCACCTGCAGACCCAAGTCCGCCTGCACACCTGAGCTCACCTGCAGACCCAGTTCGCCTGCAAGATCGCCTGCAGACCCAAGTCTGCCTGCACACCTGAGCTCGCCTGCAGACCCAGTTCGCCTGCAAGATCGCCTGCAGACCCAAGTCTGCCTGCACTCCTGAGCTCACCTGCAGACCCAGTTCGCCTGCAAGATCGCCTGCAGACCCAAGTCTGCCTGCACACCTGAGCTCGCCTGCAGATCTAGCTCGCCTGCAGACCCAAGTCTGCCTGCACACTCGAGCTCGCCTGCAGATCCAGCTCGCCTGCAGACCCAAGTCTGCCTGCAGTCCCAAGCTCGCCTGCAGACCCAAGCTGCAGACTCGCCAGCTCACTGTCGACTGCCCGCTTGGACTATGGGAACAGTTACATCAGTGGTCAAATCCCACAAATCAAGGGAGAAAGCATGGCGCTCCTCACATAGCAAGAATAGGGCGGCTGACAGGACCCCCTAAGTGGTCACATCCCACAGCTAGGGCGGCTGGCTCCCTCATCTCTATTAGTGGTCAAATCCCACGAATCAAGGGATGGCCCATGCCATCCCTTGCCTATTAAAACCCATCTTCAGCCAGCATGAAGGGGGGATTGGCTGTTGCATATTCTGCTGGCTAATCTCCCAAAGGTTGAACCTGGACCTTTGCCAAAGGCTCCCTCATTTGAGAACTGAAGCTCCGGCAGCAACTTCGATCGGATCGTCCAAGGGAAGCAGACTCGGCACGAGCACCGAGCGAAGCGTCCTATCGCCACCGAGGAACCCACGTTAAACAAGGAGGGCATTCCCACCGCTTCTGTCGTAAATATTTGATTATTAGTTTGTAATAAGCTGTTCTTATCAATACAAACGAAGTTCCCTATTTTCGGAAGATCAAAATTTACATCTACAGAGACACATTAAAACTTGAATTTTAGGGCCTTGAAGCAAATTTTCCTTATAACATTTACAGTTACGTGGAAGTGACATTTATATTACAATTTCGTGCCTTTGAGGAAACGGATTAGCGGGTTTGAATGCGGATGAGAACTTACAAAATGATTCGACCCACTTACCCTCCATATAAATTCGCTTCGTCCATTTCTCTCTCCTCTCTCGCGCTAGGGTTTTCTAAAATCTATACATATTTCAAGCGGCGGCCGATCGATCTCACGCTCGATTAGTGGTGAAAAAAATGACTCAAATTAGCAAGAAGCGAAAGGTAAATTCTTCACTCTGAAACCCTAAGTCGAAATATTTCGATCGATTCTCACGTTCTTCTCCCGAATTTATGTGTTCAGTTCGTCGCCGACGGCGTTTTCTTCGCCGAGCTGAACGAGGTGCTCACCAGAGAGCTCGCTGAGGATGGATACTCCGGCGTCGAGGTTAGGGTTACGCCGGTGAGGACCGAGATTATCATTAGGGCGACTCGAACTCAGAATGTCCTCGGTAAATCTCGATCCTTAATCGCGGTTAATTTTCAGTTCTACCACTTTGAGTTAAAATAAGTATGATGATTGATATTTTTTGGATTTTCATAATTTTCCCGTTAGTTGTTTAGCTAAAATTCCAATACCACCATACAAGACTAGTAACGTTAATGCGGTATACAACTAGAAATGAGAGGTAAATTTGCATATATCTGGATTTGGGAGGTATATGGACCAATATGGTTGATTTGTGAGTATATATGTTAAAAGCCTTGATCTAAATGATATTTTCCATGGTATTCAATAAGAATATCTCAATTTGAATCCCTGATTGAGAATCTCTAGTTTAATGTAGCTGAAGTGAGTTTGTTGTTGATATTGATTAATGGCCGGAAAAAAGCTCTCAATGAACTTTTAGGAAAATAACGGAAAGGATATTTGACAAGTTTCTGGATATCTGGTCATAGTTGCATTTTTGGCTTTGTTTCAGGTGAGAAGGGCAGAAGGATCAGGGAACTGACTTCAGTTGTTCAGAAGCGTTTTAATTTCCCTGAGAACTCAGTTGAACTCTATGCGGAGAAGGTTAACAACAGGGGTCTGTGTGCTATTGCTCAGGCTGAATCTCTCCGATACAAGCTCCTTGGAGGACTTGCTGTTAGGAGGTACAATTTTCTAATCATTATAGGTGCAATAGACTAACTTGAGGATTTTGTTTGTTGCTTGTTTTGTTTGTTTTAGATTATAACTCGAGAATCCTGTCATATTGAAGTGGCAGAAATCAGATTTCATCATGCAATGTAATTTTAGCTTTACAGAAAATGGCTCTTCTTTCATTGAATTATTTTGTGGCATCATGTCATCTCTCACTGATGTTTGTTCCCTCGTACTGGCACTTTGTTCCTGGATGACTAGATTATGGCTTACCCTTCAAAGCATTAATGTGCAGTATGTGTCAATAACATTGACTATATTGCCTTTTACTTGCTGGAAAATTTTAGATCTGATTCATTTGGATGCATGTATTATCTTCAACTCTGTTTTGATCTGACTCTTCACACTAAGCTTGCACGTTAGTAACAATGTGTAAAAAGAGAGGAGCGATTCCTTATAATTGGCCTGAATTTTGTAGAATGATACTAGTTTTGTGCATGTAACATAGTTCCATTTTCTTTGTCTGAAATTTTATGTACTTTGCATATGAGTTTTGTTAGTTATTAACAAGGATATAAATTGCACAATAATGCACATAACCTCCTTTATTTGTGCCTACAGTTGCACAAAACCACCCCCTAATGGACCCCTTAATGGTTCAACTCATATATTAGCACTTAGGCCCCCTCAATTCGTGAGGAATTAGGATTGTTAGATTTTTGTCATCTATAAAGCAAATAGGTTGGTAGGTAACCATCTTTGTGTCGGAAGATGACTACATCATGGCCATGCATGCTTATACAATCACGGGAGCACACATCTCTCGTTTCACAAGCTTGTTATCGCGACGTCCGTACCTCCAGTTGCACAAAACCATCCCTCAATGACTCAATTCACGACGAATTGGGGCTTTTAGATTTTGTCATCTATAAAGCAAATAGGTTGTTCTGTAACCAACTTTGTGTCGGAAGATGACTACATCATTGCCATACATGCTAATATGATCATGGAGCACACAGCTCTTGTTTCACAAGCTTGTTATGGCAACATCTTTCGTTTTACTGAGATACTTCTCTTCTTTTACAGTATTCTTGGAGTGTTTATTCATCATTTCTCTTATTTTTTCCCCACCACCTGGAGTTTTTCTATGTGGAAAGAATTCAGAGTATTTTCTATTTTAGCACTGGAGTCTTCATCCTTTCTGTAGCAAAATTTGTGTTTCCAGAAGCAGTCTTTGTGTACTATTACACTCATTACACTCCAGTAAGCAATGCCGCTCTTGTTCTTTTATCCACATCTTTTCTGCTTTTATGGATACCCATCTGGATGGACTATGGCAAGCTGAATAGGGCTCTCCTCTTATGGATGTTTGCTATTCCTGCTCTGGATACTTCACCCTTGTAGTAAAAAAATTCTTGTGTTTCCAGAAGCAGCCTTTGTATGTTATAACAGTCATTATGTTACAGGAAGCAATGCTACTCTTTTTCATGTGTCTACATCCTTTCTGCTCTTATGGATACCCATCTGAATGGATTATGTCATGTTGAATAGTGTTCATCCTTCTCACTAATAGAGATTAATTATGTTATTTGTCATGCTCTGGTTTCTTGCCAATTGTTATTCCTTTGTTTGTCTTGTCAGGCCCGTTTGAAATAAGACCTATAGTTCTTTTTCTCTTGTTGATATTCATTCTTTGTACTATTTTCTTATTATTATTAAATTTCTTCTTGAGCTCTGGGTAAAGAGTAGCATATCACATTAATGTTTGGTGTAGAACATAAAACAGACTCTTAAGGGTTTGCTAAAAGGTCTTGAATTCATTCTCTTGTCTATATTCATTCTTTGTACTATTTTCTTAATTCTCATCAAATTTCTTCTTGAGCTCTGGGTAAAGAGTAGCATATCACATTAGTGTTTGGTGTAGAACATAAAACAGACTCAAGGGTTTGCTAAATGGTCTTGAATTCTAAAATAATTTTGAAATGTATGTGATATAGAAGATTTAACTGTTGTATTCTCCATATTTTTCTCTTATGTGTATGTTGACATCTCGTTTATGAATAAAGCGAGCCTATTTTCCATTTCTAATCTGGCAACTCTTCACTGACCTAGAAACTTTTGTTCAGGTTTAACTAAGCAGTAATTATTGTTCCATGCAAGTTTTTCGAACAATATGCTCTGGTGTTTGCATATAGTGCTCAGATACTAAAACAATGGAGTTTGTCAGGATTCAGACATCTTAAACATATGACTGGAGTTTGGAATATGCTCCAATATTGGTCTGCATCGTGTGTCGAACACACATGGAGTTTGGAATATGCTCCAATATTAGCCTATACCATGTGTCGAACACTCATGGAGTTTGGAATATGCTCCGACATTAGCCTGTATCACGAAGTTTCGTGGTTTCTACTATTTTCTTTTTTTCCTTGCTTTTTGTGTCATGCTGTTGATCTCTTTTCCTCATCCTAATGGGCTATGTACCCAGTTTGGTTGCCTAACTAAGCATTTATGTATGCAATCTTGAGTGTTATATGATAACTATAGTAATTGTTGGTTATCCCATTTTGGTTATGGTGTTCAATATTTCTTTTTTTCTGTTCAGGGCCTGCTATGGTGTTCTGAGGTTTGTCATGGAGAATGGCGCCAAAGGCTGTGAGGTAACTTGACTTACTTTTTCTTTTAAATTGTTTGCCTTTATTTCTAGGCTTTAGGATTTGAGACTTATAATTTGCAGGTGATTGTGAGTGGAAAACTGAGGGCGCAACGTGCCAAGTCCATGAAGTTCAAGGATGGATACATGATTTCTTCTGGTCAGCCTGTGAATGAATATATTGACTCAGCAGTTAGGCATGTGCTCTTGAGACAGGTTAGTTAATGGTTTCTCATCAAGCTTTCCTGCTAATATCTATCTGAATCTGTGTAGCAATGTTCTGGATTTTTTTTGTCCATAAATGACAAGTGAAAAATTCTTGTCCATGTAATGATTACCAATAATTACTTTGCAAACCAATAACGTCACTTTGTACTTAGTGGTGCATGTCAATTTTTCATTTCTTTGTTAGAAGTTTCCATATTGTTCTAGCTTATATCCTTAACTGCTTACCTTTGGGCTTCTCAATTATTGTTAATTAGGGTCAAGATTCCTTTTTTCGCCTGTCATAGATTGAATACATTCCAAGGCATTATCTTTTACTTCCTAGTATTGGTCATAGATTGAATACTCTTAAAAACTAAAATACCACTTTTGATATTTTCGATTTTTTTATTAGACTTAACTGACAATTAAGGTGTTCTTGTTACCACCAAAATTTGTGAGTGTTCGGTCGCAACGGAATTTAACAAATCTACATCTGATGTAATTGTTATCAGTACTTGTAATCTCTCCCTTGTTTATTTGCTGCCTCATCGTGCTTCTTATATTTATTTGTCTTTTGTGTAGGGTGTCCTTGGCATCAAGGTGAAGATTATGTTGGACTGGGACCCGAAGGGGAAGCAGGGCCCTACTACACCATTGCCAGATGTGGTCACCATTCACTCACCAAAGGATGAAGAGGAGTACCTCAGGCCTCCCGTTATGTTGCCCACAGAAATAGAAGTCCCCGTTGTTGCTTGAGTTTGTCTAGAATTTTCCTTGTTTTCACCCAGAACCCAAAAAAAAAAAAGGAAAAAAAACATTATTATGAGCTATGGAGAATTGGAGAGTAGTTTATAGGATTTCTCGGTAGTGTTTTTTTTTGTTTGTTTATGTTTGTACGTTGGGCATGGTTTTCCTTATTTTGGGAACAATTGAGACCTCTTGCTCTGGTTTTGTTTACTTGTGTCTATGCACACTGTCCGGTAATTTTTTCCCCCATTGGGAAGAAGGTATTAGTTATCTTGGAGATTTATGAAAGACGAATTTAGTAGCGGCGTAAACTGTATGGCTGTGCCGCTATATCTTGGATTGAAGTTGGGGTACGATTTGAAAAATATGTACCAACGATTCAAGGATGTTCCTAAAATTTCTCTGTAGAAGAGTTATATTAAGAGTTATATTAGAACGGCCTGCGATGTGCGTAGCGATCTGAGTTTTAGTCACGCTCTTATGCGTATCAAGTCTCCCTGCGCTGCGGGGCGTTCTGCGATTGCACCAAGGCGTTCTGTGATTGCACAAAGTATTGTGTGAAGTATTCTGCGGGGCGTTCTGCAAGTATCGTGTGAAGTATTTCGAGTAGAAATTCTATCCGAGCACCGTCATAAAATGTGCGATTAGGGGGTTAATATGGGGATTCTAGATGACGCATATTACTTCACTCTTATAGGGATGGCACCGATAAAGATTCATATATGGAGAATTCACGCACGAAACCTCAGAAAGCACTTAGGCCTCGTTTGGTACGCGGGAATGGGGTGGAATAGAATGATCATTCTCACTTCTCATTCTTTTCTACTAAACGCACCCATTTTTTTGAAGTTGAAATGCTCATTCCCACTTCTCATCAATTCCCACTTTATGTGGGAATGAGCATCCCCAATGAAATGATAGGAAATGAACATTCTCACTTAAATAAGAATCAATAAAATATACAATTTTAAAATACGTTCATTCCCACTTTATTTTATAAATTACACCCAAACGTGAGAATGTGAATAACTATTCAATTCTCACATTAATTCCATTCCATTCATTCTTCCATTCCATTCTCATCTGAGTCCATTCCCGCGTACCAAACTAGGCGTTAGCACAATGCCGAAGGCATAAAAAAAATGACATTGGACGGTTGTAACGAGCTATGTAGACAAAATATTACAGCGTAAAACCTTCGCTTATTTTCACATTGAAAACATCTCACGCATTTCCTCTCTCCATAACACTCCCATGAAAAATACTCAGCTCCGCTTGACCGGATCAAAGTTTGCCACTCCGACAACCGCTCCGACGATGACAGTCACGACCACCCCTCCGGCCGCAATGCTGAGCAGGAAGTTCTTGAGGGACGGTGAAACACCGGGCCCCACCGACACCACCTTCTCCTTCATGTTCGCCGACGCCCGGGCCTCGAGACGACGACGGGTTTTTCTCGGGTTTCGTGCGGAAAAGCTCATCGGCCGGTGACCGGTGTCCGGAAGGGATTTCTGTTGGGTAACTACATTAGTTGGTGATGAAATGGAGACGGTTGAGATTGATGCCATTGTGGGGATTAGAGCGTTAAAGAGATTCAGTTAAGAGTATAATAGTTTGGAGAATGAGAAGATATTGATGAATAATTAGATAATAAGTGCATGAGGAGTGGATGATGGGGGGGTGACAGGTCAGCAAGAAGAGGGCTGACGTGGAGGAGTGTGGTTTGTGGGAGTGGAGGATAGGGTTATCTGTATGTTGGGGATGTCAAGTCGCCATGCGATGATTATGATTGTTATAATAATCTCTTAAGGGAATAAGAATTTGTAAGGTCGCCCGTCATTTTCATTTCATTAGGGTCAATCATACATGTACATCTTGTACACTATGGTGATGGTGATGTATTCACTCTTCCAATGTTTATCTTGTATATTATATATTATTTGGAAAAGATCCGATCCCTTCATTAATAGTTACATTTTGGAAACCTTAAACGACCATATGTATTTTTTTTCCTGAATTTAGAGCGTAAAATGATTTATCGTCACGTTTTTTTTCTCCCATGGAGATATTTATGAAATTCTATATGGGGTTGGATTATCTCCATTGTCAAAAAGCAGTGCACTTCCTATCACGCAGGGTTCTGATAGCCACACAACATGAAGCTCATTTACGGAAGTACCCCACACTTCCGTAAATGAACGGCTCAGAACGCTCTGCAAGGTGCGGGACGTTCTGAGAGGATCTGTACTCATCAAAAAAGTAGTAGAAAGACCATTATTATAATTTATGATGGTTGATTTTTTATCGGATGCTTGTAAGTTCTTCTTCAGTCAAAAATCCTATCACATCTCCAGTCGACATCGTCAATTTTATTTATTGGTGACAATAGTAGCCCTTAAAAAACTAACAAAAATGTTCTATAAACTTGTTTTGTTTTCAGATGGTTAAAACTCTGTTCTTAGTTAAGATAGTCTACTATCTGGAAGTAGTAGTAGCTGACAGCTTTCTTATTCATGCTGGAGATGGGTTACTCTGTAGTGGCAGAGCTGGAGCATGGTTTGGCTTCTTTTTGTGGGGGAACAATAGTTTTTCTTTTGGTTTGTAATTTCTGTTTGAACTCAAGTACACATTCTTATTGGTTAAGAATGTGTATCTTCTTGTATCAGCCAATTTTTTGGTTAATTTAGCTGGCTGGACTACTGTTATGATTAACAGTAGTCCATCCTTTCTCTAAAAAAAAAAAGAAACTAACAAAAAAAGGAGGGGTCCCAAAAAACATTGAACGCGTGAAAAAGCAGGTTTGCAAAAAATAAGTTTTACCATAAATTAAAAAGAAAAAAGGAAAAAAAGGGAGGGGGGAAAAAAAGAAAGGAAAGATATCTCATCCTTCACACATCCAGGTAGTTTCTTGTGTCCCTGTCCTGACCCAGCTCAAGTAGAGTAAACCAAGTCATTTCTTATCGTCTTTATTAAATACTAAACTCAATTATTCTTCACGCGTAGACCTAACTAGTACTAATCTATTCAAACTTCATAACTAGAAACTGTCCAACTATTTTCTCATTAGACATCAACCAGTAATTTCCTCAGCAAGTTCCCCCCCATCTCTTCAACCATCTATATGTATCAAATACTCGTTGTCCCCATCTTATACACGCTAATCTCACACATATATAAATATCACCACCCTAACAAGCTAGGAGGCATGAAAATATATTTATAATTGCTTCTTCTTCTTCTTCATATCATTAATCATCATGGCAAAGTTTGAGAGAATTTTGCACCACTTTGACAAGGACAATGATGGAAAAATCTCACCATTTGAGCTTCAATCTTGCATGAAGTCAATAGGAGAGGAGCTATCTTACGAGGATGCGATGGACTTGGTTATGTCGATCGACTCGAATGGAGATGGCTTGTTAGAGCTTGAAGAGCTGGTTAAGATGCTGATGGAGAATGAGGAAGGGGAGGATAAGGAGTTGAGGGAGGCTTTTAAGATGTATGGAATGGACGGCGAGGATTGCATCACGGCGGAGAGCTTGATGAGGATGCTCGCAAGGTTAGGGAATGTGGTGGATGTTGAGGAGTGTAGGAGCGTGATTTGTAGGTTCGATCTCGATGGAGACGGGGTAATTAGTTTTGATGAGTTTAGGCTTATGATGATGCATTGAAAATTTAGCATTGTTGTAGTTCCTTGGTTCCTTTTTTTTTTTTTGATATTGTACAATTGTGGATTGGGATTATTGTTTCATTCATGTAATTATTTTAACATATTTGATATTTTGTAAAAATTTAGATCTCTTTTGATATAGTTTGGTATTTCTTTTCACGTACGAGGCACTTTTTTTGTAGCTTTTGGATGCCAATACAGGATTTCTATGCATACAGCCCAATATGAAGGGTTAATCCGGCAAGGATTCCTGCGCCCGGCCCATGAACTCTATCCATAGATCTTGTCATTAACTCAACTTCCAAGTTGAAAAAAGTGAGAAAAAAAAGTTGCTCCCTGTTCCTCAACAGAAAGTATCCATTGGAAGTTACACGACATTAAATATGCACTAAAGGGTATCAACTCTTGAATTATTAGATTTTGAGACTTGTGCACAGATCCAAGAATTGATATCTATTTGGTGCATATTTCCATCATCAGCTTCTCTCTAATGCTGCTTTTGAGTGCGAATCCTATCAGAACACATCATACAAGACGCTCCAAACCGCACATATATGAAGATGGAGAAAAGTTTCGGTATTTCAACACTTTTAAGATGGATCAGATCACCGCACATGGAGGGATGTTCTTATAGGAATTGCACTCCTTGACTTCTATCAATTCCTAGAGACTCAATTTCACAAGCTACATTTACCTGGCGAGTGGCGGCCATCTAAATCAAATTATCAACAGTTTTCTATGTTAAAATAATGAAACATACAATTAACAAACATGGAGGGGGGGTGGGGGGTGGGGGGGGGGGGGGGTGGATGTCTCAATTTAGCAAAATAAAGTTACACATAAGTAGGACTTCTACAGAGACCACTGAAACAATTAAGAGTGAATTACAGCAACAGTGTTAAAGAGAAGGGAGAGAAAACGCCATTCTTAATTTTATCATATGTCACTGACATTTATTATTGCTGCTGAGATTATTGAATCTGTAAGGTGATACAAAAAGCTGCTAAATTGGCGAGATTATGGTGAAATCTTAACCAATGGAGTATTTAATGAGAGCGACTCTTTGGCATCAACAGCTGGTACAAATCTCCACGTCGTTGCTTCTCCAGTGGCAGATTAGATCTACAGGGGGGGGGGGGGGGGGGGTTTAAGACAATGACTAGCGGAAAAATTAAAAAAGTTGAATTACTTTATTAAAAGAGATGGAATTGGATTAAGTGAAACTTTTATGGTATGACTTAATGTGCATATGTGGTTGTAAGGAAAATAGAAATCTAAGTTAATGCAAAATGATTGCCCGTTGGTCTGTCAACTGAGTTACTATAGGAATTAGAGGATTTGTTGAGATATTATCTAGTCGATAACTATCATTGTAATTGAGTGTATACGTCTTTTTCTGTAATCTCATTTCCCAAAATAATTTTAGTTTACAATATGTGAAGTGAGAATTTCCAATAACCTGGACTTGGAGTTGCCATAGACACTAGTGTAGTTGAGGGCTCAGTGGACAAAGTTCATATACAGAACAGAGTTCATACACACCCTTCCGAACCTAACACAAAATAGTGCAGGCTAAAGAAATTAAATGGTAGTTGGCAAGGAACTGTCACTCACTGAGAAACAAACACCAATGGTTCTCCAAAAAGAGAACAGGATGAGGATGATAATGACAATGTTTGCAAATAGAAATTGCATTTGTCTCCCATGAACCGAACTCACCCATACCTTGTGATACTTTATCATGCTTTTTACATCAAAAGTGGATTCAACTTTGGAGCACTCTAATTCAAAATGATCCATGACGATGACAGCCATAGACAAGAAGCTCAAAAGGCCAAGCAGATGATTATAAGCCGATGTCAAGTGGTTTAAACTTAAAGAATGAAACAGCAATTAAGAAGAGAAGGGCTTCCAATAATATGTGCTAAAAAAGAGCGAATGTTTTAAAATCATGTACTGTCATAATATGATAAGATTGTAAAGTGGATTCAACTATGGAGCACTCCAATTCAAAATGATCCATGACCACGACAACCATAGACAAGAAGCTCAAAAGGCCAAGCAGAAGATTATAAGCCGATGTCAAGAGGTTTAAACTTAAAGAATGAAACAGCAATTAAGAAGCGAAGGGCTTCCAATAATATGTGCTAAAAAGGAGCGAATGTTGTAAGAACTGTCATAATATGATAAGATTGTAAATTGGTGAATTTGGGAAAAAATATCCTACCTCCGAAGCTCAATTAGTGAATAGTCAATTTCTTCAACAATTATTGCCTCCTCATGCTCGGTGGTTGCAATCACTTCGCCAAACTAAAAAGCCAAGGTGAGGGCAACACAAATAGTATTTGTCATATATTCAAGTTTCAATTGTTCAAATACGAGATGCATAAAATCTTACAAACTTTCTGAATGTGAACGCTAACAATAATTAAAGAGAAATAAACAATATATTAGTCTTTAATTACACTTACAGGTCCGACAAGTGTTGAGTGACCCCAAGCAGTATAACCAGCACTAGTATCCCGAGCAGGGGAACAAGTTGCCACAAATAACTGAAAAGACAAAAGATTACAAAGTATATAAAGTAAATTGTATAAAGCTAAATGTCATTTGAGTAACAATACTGGAACAATTTTCAACCTATTTCAAAGAAAATAAACAGAAATATTATTCTCTGTATCACTATTCTGCTGTTTCTTCAAACAAACAGTTACTTGCTTAATAAAAGATAAAATTAAAATTCAGCTATTCACCCATACAAGTATCATATTGTGTGGAAGGAGATAAATCTACTTTGATGAAAAGTTGGTTTACAGTTAAGAGAATTTCTGTGATATGCATTTCTGGAGATGTAATTAAAAGTTCCACGTACCTGATTATCAGCAGCCCTGCCAGAAAAAGATACAATCATTAGCAAGAATAGCAGAAAAATTTCTTTGAGACTCATATAAACATGGTAAAGATGGCATGCATGGGAAACTTTATACAAATATACAATGTACTCCTATGATTCCTATAAAACACGTATATCAGTATATTCAAAATGAATCCTTTTGCAGATCACTGCCTCGTCAAGATTATGTTATAATAGGCTTAAACATACCAAACGTGACAATTAGCTAATGCGAGTATATTTAATTAAAGGTTTCACTAACTTTGTCAATATTCCGATATAATAGAAACATAAAGAAAGTTACAGAATTTGGATATTCTGCGATACATATTATCAAATACCAACATACAGCACATTGATAACATCTTTCAAGTTCGGTATGATATTACCTTGCTCTTTGGAGCAACTCCCAATGCAAAGGACCAGTGGTCATGTTAAATGCCCCAGGATAGCAAATTAGATGAGCACCTGCTTTCAAAATTGTCAAGCTTCAGGTTGATGTCAATATTACCTTAGTAACTACGAGTTGCAACAGATTGAAGTAAATTATAGAGCGGCCTTAAACAAAAGATGCCAAAAAGAAAGTAAAGGATGGAAAGTCAAATCTAACAAATAACAATTTATAGAGGGGGAAAAAACCATAATTGTGATTCATATTGGAAGAAGAAAACCTCTTGCTGCATATAACATTGCCAGTTCCTGGAAGCGGATGTCATAACAAATACCAATACCGATGCGCCCAACATCTGCATACACTATCAAGAATCACTCTGCAGAATAAATCAAAGAATTATGTGCAATATTGAAAAAATCTGTCTGTGTTGTCCATTGAGTTAGTAGGGTGGGATGCGCACATTGGAGGACAGGGGAGGAGCAGTGGTTAGGGAGAAGTTCTCTTAAGAAATATTTATGAGGGAAACACATATGAAAAATTATTTACTAGACTTCATGAGTGCATTTTCATTGAGACTACAAGTAAAAACATGTTCTGACTCTTTATAAATGGGTTACAATGTAACCATAAAGTACAAAGTTAAAGTTCCAAAACAGAAATATTGACCATTTTGTAAGAGTATGATATCTGTACAACCAAGAAATAGAAGATGGTTCACTGTAAGGCAACTCAAGGATCTACTTGTAGAATGTCTCTTACACATGAAAAAGATATATGCTTAAATAATTGTCACAAATTATTAATAAATTCTTTCGCAACAGCCGTAAGAAACCAACTACAAGCTTTTAGAAGTGTTGAATCTATAATCTAGTAAAAAATAAGCTTACCTCCATAGGACATTAAAAAAAATTATGATTAAACATACAGAAGTAGGTGGATTCGTGAAACACGTGGCGCACATGACAAACCTGTATCAACAATAGTAGGATTCTGCCCAGCTGTAAGAGTCTTTGATTCTTTGAAAGTAATCTTGCCCGGGATATCAATGTCGAAAAGATGTAGCTGTATTTATAATATGCATTATATTAGATAGTCCTTACCAAATCGCATAATACCAACCATTTTCAGCAAATAAAACAGAGGCAAACAAACAGTGTCATTATGTTTTTCCGCCAGGGCCTCAAGAGGCATGCATATATTTATACTGTCATTATAAGATTTGGCATCTGCTCGTTTTTGTTTATTTCAAATGTCACGGGAATAACATCTTCCCATGAAAAACTTACATAGAGAAGGCATACGGTTAAGATAAATCAAACAACAATAGAGATCACAACAACGAGAAGTGTCTCAAACTTCTGCGCAACAAGCACCTAGGCAGCTAAATTTCCAGAGGAGTCGTCGTGTTACAACATGATCAAGAGTAGTAAATTCAACTATGATAATTGCAGTGTGAGATGTTGTGCATGACAAACATCATCTAATTGCACTTATTTTAGCTGTATACGAAGGCAAAAGGAATTCGGCCCTCTGAGGATTTATATAACCCAGTATGATGAACCATGACGAGCAAACATTTTAGAAGTTAAGCTCCAGTACAGGTACTTCACTCATATGATTATTCGGAGGATTTAAGATGGCATTTTAGGCACAAAAATAGTTATCTATACTACTTGATAATGGCAATACTAGGTGTAGGACAAAAAAGGAAAGTGGAAACCATGAAGAATTATGAAGGGCAGAAAGGTAATTTTCCCTGAATATAATAAGTGTCACTTCAATACCCCTCTATCTCACACTCTCCCTTTCCTGCACCATGTATTTCTCTTGTTGAAATTTGAAACTTGAAAGTATAAGTACCTTTTAATTTATTAAATCTATAAATGAAACTATTAGAATATATTACGAAAATATTTATTATATTTGAAAGTTCTGAAAAATAATTTAATAAGAGTGCATCTAGCTTAATCTATTTTTCCTGTAAATAAAAAAAAAATTAAATGTAACATATAAATATGTGTTGTGTGATAAAATATAATTTCAAATATTAACTTTTTTACAAAATGTTTCCTTAAAACAAATGGATACGAATCAACTTTCTTCCTAAAAAATTTATACCAATAAATTATTGCACCTTGATTTAGGATTATGAACACAAATATCTTAAAACACCTATACATGATTTCGTGTTACATGCAAATGCACATGCCAAATTTTGTACTAATAATCTATAATATAAGAAGAAGGATATGAACAAAGTTAAGTAAAAGGATATGAGAAAAAGAAGAATAAAATAAAATAAAAGTACTAATTATTAATGATTATGTAGTTATATATCAGGGATAACGTAAAAGGTGCAAAGTAAATGGAAAGGACAAATTAGAATTACAAATTCTCAATGTGCACTGCATAAATCATGTAGCAACTCAGCAAATTAATATCTCATCTATCCAAACATCAAAATTACTTTTAGCTTGCACCTTTCTATGTTTACCCTTGAGAACTCCATCCTTCCCAAAAACACAACAAGTATTGTACAAGTGGTCACCACATCGCTCTGGTATTGAGCCTCCAATGATAGTAATCTGAAGAGTGCGAGCAGCTTCGGAAAGCATAGAGAATGACGGAGCTGCATCACCACCAGCCTCAATATCCTCGGCATACACTGGAAAGCTATCATTTGAATATGGACTATTCCATATTTCCTAGCATGAATGTCAAAAACATAAATGTTACGAGAACGTCTTACCACAAATATGATAGCATTTGTGTCATCTTCCATAACAAAAGAGAGAACATGAAACGCAACAAAAGGTAGTCGTTTTGCTGATAAAAGTTTGCAATTCCAGATTATACGCATATGAATACAGTTCAATATGAGGAATGCAAAAGTTACACAAGAACCAAAACTTTGCTAGGAAAGGAACAAGAATACTTCACAATTATGGGAAGCCCCTATAACAACAACAAACACAAATCCTTTGTCCCAAAAACTTAGGGGTCAGCTACGTAAATCACTTCTTCTATTCATTTCCATTAACGGTCATCTCCTCCACTAAGTTAATCACTATCTTATCCTCCTCAACTGTTTTCACTCAAGTTGTCTCAGACATATCTCCAGTTACCCTTGTTCCATTTGTTATAATATTACCACTTCTCCCAATTTGTGCACTTCGAAAGCAAAACATCAATACAAGAAGCTCACACACTCAACAATTTTAAAAAGAAAACACCACGCCATCTATAAAATAAACAGAGACTTCTCCTTAAAATCCACTTCTATTCTCATGTACAAGTCCATCCCAAAATACCACTCCTGTATCCACTAATTATCTACAAACAGACAATCCTTTAAGTAATCTATCTAGCTAATTTAAGGAAAAATCTTCAAACTCCTTCAAATTTTCCCCCACAAAACTTACAGGCAACAGCACGAGCTCGGCTCCTTTACCAGCAGCCTCCTCGATGGCCTTTCGAGCGTGCTCAATGTTCCTCTCTTTATCCGCAGTCACAAACAACTGGCACAAAGCTATCTTAAACTGCAAAAAGTTCGCTCCCTCAGTGACAAAAAAAAAAACGAAAATTTGCAAAATTAGGGAACTAATCCATAGGAAAAAAAGACAAAAAAAACTTACCTTGGAGACGGGCGGAGGAGGAGGGGGGAGTACGGGCGGAACCCTAGCTTGCTCCGGCTTGTAAGCGGCGGCCATGGCGGAGAAGGGGCGAGAGGATCGGAGAGGGGAGAGAAAGCTAGGGTTAGGGTTTTTTGTTCTAGGGTTTGGAGAAGGTTTTGGAGGGAGGTGAGAATAATAGGGCGAGATACCGGTGGTGAGGAGAGCGGTGGACTGCGGGAGGATGAGGGAGGCCAGTCCCACTCTCATTTCTTTGAAAACGATGGCATGAAAATTGTTGGAAAGGGGGAGTTAATGTGAAAATTAGGGATGATTGTTTTTCGTCCGCCTTCGCTAATTTAAAACGTCTTAACAAATTTAATCTATTCCTCCCTAATAATGAAGGATTTAAAATTAACTATTTATGTTACAATAATGATACAGTAAATACTATAATATTATTATTACAGGATCCATGATTCACTATTTATACTATAGTAATTTACTATAGCATTATTGTTGTAGCACAGACGAGAAATGTAGTGTTCATAAATTATTACTGTAGCTCAACGGGACAGATGGGCTGTAACATCCAAAAAAGTGTTGTGACAGGATCACTGTAGCTCAGGGGGATACTATAGCAGTATTACTGTAACACAAAAGGGAATTGTGACGTTAAAAAAATTATTGTAACATCATTACTGTAGCTCAAAGGGATATTGTAGCATTTTTAAAAAAATGTTACCGTGACACTTAAAAACTGTATTTAAATACATAATTATTATAACGAAAATAAAAAAATGAAGTCCGTGCTTTGCACGGGATGCACACTAGTGTTATTAGGAAAAGAAACTTTACGGCTAATTTGATATACTTCAAATCAATTCAAGAGAGCAATGTATAAATTCTATATTTCACAATGCAGTTAATGCACAATCACCAAATCTTGATAGGTCATAGAAGGCTGATGCTGTATGTACTTTCATTTGGTCAGCATTAGGGTGGCAGGGCAATTCGACCGTAATCTTTTCTGTACCGCAGCTCAAATATAATTTTTTTTCTACAGGGACCCAAAATATATGTGAGATGTCTCCCTCTTATTACATAATAAGCTGTTATTACCAGCTCATTATGCAATAGGGATGGGATACCTCACCCGTTTACTCACTTGGACCGATGTTTTGAGTCCTTAAAAGGTATTTTTCAACTATAAAATATCTTTTTCACTTCGGCGTTAGATTGGGGCCCAACTGTGAACGTTGGGTAAGGCTTGCAGGCCCATGACCTGCAACACTGTAAACCCGCGATTCATTTTAGCTCGGACAAATGAAACAGAGTTATATCTGTGATTGCCCAAATCTTGCAAAAACTAAGTATAAACCCTCAACGTTCACCAAACTCATTTAACCAACCCGCGCATATATAGGTCCACTCCTATATAAGCCACCACCGTTAAAAAAACTCCTATATAAGCCACCACAGTTAAATACACAATATTTAAGGCCCATACCAAAATGGTTCGCTGTCAATGCATGAAGCTATATACAAATTAGTTAGACGGTGAGCAAATAAGAGGGTAAATTTCACATAACCCCCTAAAATTTTTGACCCATTTGAGATAACACCAAAAACTTTTTAAAGGTCAAGTAACGCCGATAAGAAGTTTGGTAGGATAACCTCAAATTGGTGAGAAAACCCCTAAGCTCACAAGATTTTTTTTTCTTTTCAAATCGGTGTTTTGTGACCATTTTTGAAGTTTTTGGGGGTCATCTCAAATTAGGCCAAATTTAGAGGAAATATATGAAATATCACGGAAGAAACTATCTATATTGTGTAGGGACCAATATATGAGAGGCTCGCCAATATTTTCCGCAAAGCATGAGTCATCAGACAAAAGATGCCCTCTTTGCTGTACTCATTCCCCACCTACGCTTATTTGCATGCATGCATGCATGGTTAAACACCCAAATTGCTAACTTTCTCTTCCCGCCGCAAACCCACCCCCCCAACCCCCCACCCCCACCACCCCCCACCCCACCCCCACCCCACACCCCAACGCACCAGCACAAAAAATAAGAAAGAAAAGAAACCTAGCCTAGCAACCCTGCCTATAAAAACCATGCATCGTCAAAGAGAGTTACCCAACAGCACCCACACAGAAGGCATGGTCTTTGAACGAAGCTTCTCTTAGTTCTCTCCTCCTACTCTCTAACCTTGACCTCCACTTCAACTCCACTGCAAATTGGACTTGTTGCTCAATCACCATTGGCACTCCTTCCACTTTTGGTTACCTATTACCCCAAATCATGTCCACTTCACCCTTCACCGCGAGTATACACTCGCTGCCCACCCACCACACCGAACAAACTACTGCGATTATTTTTCCACCACCGCCTTCTCTTATACCAACAACTAACCGCCCACATCACACCAACAAAAGCACCACCAATTGAGTCGTCAATACCGCCGCCGCCGCCGCCCCTCCACACCACAATATCAGCGCAGTTCAATCCTCCGACACACCGACGCCGCACAAAACCATGTTCAATCCTCCTCCACCAATCATCGCCGCCACAAACAACATAATCAACTTACCACCACCACGCCACCACAACAACCACTCATGTTTTCCCGGCTTTTTTCTCCACCGCCACCGCCACACACAAAACAAACCATGTTAATTCTCCCACCATCCCCACAATACTAGCCATGCTTCCTTGCCACACCACCGCCGATGCCCATCAAACAACCATGTTCAATCCTCCACCACCACCGCCACCACAAACAACCATGTTTAATTCTCCACCACTCCCCCCACAAACTAGCATGTTCAATTCACCACCACCGCCGATGCCACAAACAACCATGTTCAATCCTCTACCACCCGTCCCTCCACCACCACCGCCACCACAAACAACCATGTTTAATTCTCCACCACTCCCCCCACAAACTAGCATGTTCAATTCACCACCACCGCCGATGCCACAAACAACCATGTTCAATCCTCTACCACCAGTGGTACAAACGCCAGTATACGAGTTGTCACCACCACCACCACCACCACCACCGGAAACGACTAGCTTCAATCCTCCATCACCACCACCTTCGCCTTGCACCAAATGTCCGCCTTCAGTATATCCATTACTACCACCCACACAACCACCACCACAAATACCTTTGTTTGTGTCACCACCATCACCACAACCACCGGCCAGTAATGATGCTTCTCCACCTCCAAAAGTCGAGCTTTCTCTTCCATCACCACCACCTCCTTTCAACCTTGCGACTCCACTGCCCAAGCACAATGTTCCTCCGCCAATACCTGCAAAAAAGAATCCAGCCACATCGCCACCTCCAAAGTTTGAGTATCGTGCTCCATCGCCACCAACATACAAATCTAAACCACCACCTTCCTCACGCATCGGTAAAAGTCATCACCGCCATCATCACCACCACCATCATCACCGCAATATACCATCATACAAGCATAAGCCAATACCACCACCTGCTGTCACCGCTGCACCAACCTCTACCGAATAAGAATGCTTGAGACAGTCTCATTTCCTAGGCCTGTGAAACTATTAGTGTCTGTGTTGTAATCTCTCTATTATCAATGAGCATTTCAAATGTATCGTGACCTATTGTAGTAGTCTTGCGTCCTCTACTCCATCATCTAATGAAATGGGTTTCTTCCTCGCAATTCTATTTTCGGAAGAGAAATCAAAGCACAATAAATGACATTAGCAGGATCAATATAGTTCTCAACATCTCTTAAGTTCCACATGCATACGGAGCAATCACAAAAAATATCATTTCGTAACAAACTTGTATTTAAAAGAACAAGAAGTCCATAAAGAATATTTCCTGACCTTGAATATGAAACATTGGCTTTATGCAACTGTTACGTTTCAAATTGTAAAGTTAATTTAGGACAGTTTCACAAAATTAACATAGTACTAATTTTGAAACTAAAATTGACATACTACAATCACATCTTGGGCATCTTCAGGGCGCTGCCTTGCCTCTTGGTGATCTTCTCACTGTGTGAAACATTCATCTTCTTCAGAGTACAAAAGGTTTCTGCATTATGAAATGATGTGCAAGTTATCTTGTTGTAGAATTTGGGAAGAAGCATAAAAAAGATATCATGAAATAGTCGCAACAATATAGTTGTAAATTTACAATTTTAGCACTGCTTAATGTCCGTCCCAGCCTAGATAAGGATCATATCTGAACTCAATAACCCATTAACTGACGATAAAGAGGGACAAAAGAACTCAAATGCAAGCATTTGTGACAAATTACAGGTACATTCTTTAAAGAGATACAAAAAAGATGCTGATAAAACACTTTAGTATTACGCTATCAGTGACATCTAAGTTGCAAGTTTGACTCCAACCACCAACTTCCAGCAAAGCATCAGCTAGAAAATTATATAAATGAGCAATCTCTAATTCTCAACTTGAACATTCTAGCATAATTGTTATATTTTAAATTGCAAAGAAAGTTCTTGGGTGTTCCTAGAACTTCTGAATCTAAAACCAAAATAAAAGTTTAAAATCATCAAACATTACATTCACGAAATGCTAAACACACTGGGGAAGAAAATAGTCAATTAAGATAATATAATGGAGTTAAGATCAGTACCAACTCAAATAGGAAATTAGGAATAAACTAGTGTGTCACGCCCTGGAACCGCAGTAGAAGATCATAAATATGGGTTACATGACAATAGCGACCCATGCACAAGACAAGTCTCATGCACGAGTCAAGCCTGACATTTCATATCACATAGCTTTCTCAAAATTTATAAACCCGCTGAAGATAGAAGTTCAGAGCAAACACACACACACATATATAATCGGTAGTTACAACACACAAGCTCAATGTTACAAGCATTTTATAAAACAGAACTCATCACCAAAAGAGAGGTCTTCCCATATAACCGCCTCTTAGAAACACGCCATAACCAAAAGTTCAGTTTATATACGTAGCTACACCAGATCTGAATTTTTTTAAACGACGGGATGAGCTAGGGCTCAATGAGAACATTTCTCACTAGAGCTTTTAGATATCTAACAAAATAACAATTCTCAGAAATAGTGAATTATAGGTTTTGCACGTAAAAATCTGAAATGACAAAATATTATGTAAAAAACACATTATCATTATTTTCAAAAAAAGAATGCAATCTTTTAAAATTCTTCTTATATGCAACTGGATATACTGTCATAGTTTACTAAATCAGACTTTTTGAAATCAAGATAAATAATGAGGAAAACAGACTATTAAATTTTGTGCAAAACCAAAAAAAGTCTACCGCTTTCTCGAATTCATAGTCAAATGTCAGAATATCAGAAGTCGATGATTTGTTCATATAGTTGCAAGAATCACCTCATAAGTCATATTAAAGCTACAAATTATAGCCCAATAGCATGGGAATATTCAAAGACATCACATAACATATAGTTTCCGTGAACAGAAGCCACCTAACTTTACCATAAGCCGTTGGCCACATTACAAATGCCCAAAAAGAACCACATCACAAATGCCCAAAAGCCTACATAAAGGCGCATTCAAACTATATGGCTGACACAAACACATCACTCCATAGTAAACTTTTAAGGGTTTTGAGAACATCGAGAAATGCTTGTCAAATAGCTTGATTTCAAATACACATCGCTTGTCAAATCACTTAATTAAAAAACACATCACTTGACAAATTGCTTGTTTTCATCACTTGTATCAAAATAATATTGGCATGTTCACTTATCAAAATTATAAACACTTTAATCAAGTAGATGAGCGTAAATCTCATTATCTCAATCCAAACAGTTCATGAAATTCATTTTATTTTTTTTTTCCAAATATCAAATCACGAAATCTCTCTTGAATTCGTCAAACTGTTGAAACACATTTAAATCACTTCTTTCTTCAATAGCTTTCAGATAAAACAATATTCACAATTATTTGAGATCGCATGAGAACCAAAATCACTTATCGCATTTTATATGAAATCAAATTTACTTTTAATATCTCATATGAAATTGAAATCATATTACCGGTTAGGCCGCGACAGAATAGATCAAACGACATATCATTTTCTTACATGAAAAATAATAGAATACTTATTTTTCAAGCACAAGATCTTTCAAGTATAATACTCATGTGATTTATATTATAAAAATACTAGTGAAAAATGAACTCACCTTATACTGTGCGAGTCTCTCAATATGATCCCTCTCACTATCAACCAGATCCTATAGTCCAGAAATATAAGGTTAATACTAATTCAAGATAACTCACACTATAGGTTAGTTGCTCTATAATCTGGATCCAAATAGAATCAAATACAATCAAATAGTAATCAAGACTCATAAATAGGGTCCACATAGGTTTATTGCTAATTTTAGCAATCTATCATAATTTTATAACACTTTTCTAATACTTTTGCTTCCGCTGACAATTTTTTAGCAAGTTTAGGGGACTAGAGTAAATTTTCCAGTCCTATTTCAAACATAGGTCGTTCTATTTGGGTCTGTTTGAAATTCTTACAAAGTTTATAGACATAAAGCAAAATTTTCCCTAGTCAATTCTACTTTTCTTAACTCAGTTTGGGACCCTCACTAAGTTTTAGTCAACATAAGGATTTAAGGGAAATTTTCCCTCCTTAATCATCTCCTTCTCCTTCTTCCCTACTAACCGCCCCCCCCCCCCCCCCCCCCCCCCGCAAGTCCCTAGAGCCGCCCACCTCGTCGTCGGTCAGGTAACTAGAGGATGCGCGTGATGAGGTCGGGATGGGCCGTCGGTGAGTCCCTCGTTGGGGCTAGGGCTGATTTTTTTAATTCTCTTTTTATAATCCTAACACTCAGTTCCATAATCAGAATATGTTACTATCATCACCCATTCCATTTTGATTTAAATTACTAGAGATTACTGTGAAAGATGGAAGTGGGTTATACCTTAATGATCGAGGTACTGATTTAATGCCTTGGTCCTTCTCTCTCGTTAATAACTTCCTCTAGCTCACAGTGAAATTGTGGAGGATGAGATGATTTCTAAGTTGATTGATCTTTTTTCCCCTACCCTTTTAATTCTCCTCCTAAGAAGGTGCCGGCCATATCATCCAATGGCCTTTAGCCATTAAACCACCTGCTTTGCATCTTATCAAGAGCTGCTGGTGGAATTTCAAAGAAACCCCTTAAGGAACTAACATTTCATTAATCCCTATTTAAGTAAACTTTTACATTAATATAGATTTGGAACACTAATTACTTGGGCTACTACATAGTGCATGAAACTCTGACTTAAATTTGAGGAGTACATGCTTCCAGCCAAATCCATGCAGTTCTCAATCCAGGAGTAAACTTCTCTTAAGAGAAAATACGTCCTTATTGTGGAATATAAGCAAGAAGAAGTTCTAAAGTACTGGATCAGTACCATTGTTGCCGTCAACTTTGTGACTCAACTTGATTTCCTGTTTCTCTGAAGCATACTGTTCCAAGAATAACTGAATTGTTCTCCAGTAGCGATCGCCACCAGAAAGCCATGTGTCCATATGCATACCAGATGGAAAATCAACAAATAGACAACGGTCATTATGTTCACGTGCTTTATCATACAGCATTTGCATGTGAAAAGGAGGTACTAACTCATCTTGCAACCCAGACAAGAATAAAATGGGCTGTTTGATCTGCAAAAGTGTAGACAACAGCAAAAGCAATAAGAAGAAGCAACAGTATATATAAGAAGAAGTTGTTACTTTATGCCATTTGTAGGATTTTTGATCAGTTAACAGTATGCTTATTGGAGCATATTTGTGCTGCAAGCAATTAGCAGACATAATGGACGACATTATCATATAAGCTACATAGTAGTTTGCATGTACAGGGGTCAAATGAAGAGCAAATTTGGACAAGCGCCAGATTCAGATCCTGTACTATACACAGCATCAAATGGGTGCACTTATCTTTGGTTTACCAAAGTATGAACTCTTGTTAAGATACCAATGCAGTTATGTCATTAAAGTGATTGCTACCTCCCAAATAGCTCAATAGAATTCAGAAAATGTCTGATATTTTTCAGAATAAGTAGGAAAGTGTGCATGTCTCCTGAGTTTGTATAGTAGAGAAGAGTTTTGGATTGGTTGCAGAATGGTTGCTGGGGTTCTTGTACAACTCTGAAAGGGAATGCTTGGGTGAACTTCACATGTGAGCTTTAGGAGTTGGAGAAGTTTCATATTTTTACTTTTATTTGAAATTTCAGGTGCTAAATGTATATAATAGAGAGAGGTTTGTCTAAAATTTTGTGTTTAAATTGTATAGATTTCTTTCATTTAAAAGAAAAACACCAAACAATGACAAAACCAGCCTCAAATTGAGATAGTGTCAACCTTTACTGGGCCAATTAGAACTAGCACCGACAGACTTAAACAGGATCAACCTCCTAATTCATACCGGACCAGCCATATTTGAGAGTTGGTTACCCTTAAAAGTCTTAAACATAAAGCAGCCTAGCACGATCCTCTATTTCAATCTGCTACTGGCAGGCACAGGTCTATTAAATAGACCAGCAACTTAGATACCATCAATAACAAGACACCTCGAGTTTAGGATTCCCATATATGAGATATTAGCAATCTGTAAATATTAATTACAGAATTTTTTAAGTCATAGACATAGCAACTAAAATAAACTTTGAGTCCTTTTGGCACACAAATCAGATATTCAGAATTTGAATAGAACTTTTTAAATGAAAGTTACATATAAACTGTAAACTGCAATAAACTAAAAAATATATAATCAAATTACATGAATGTGAAATTCTTTAAGTAATTATTTGCTCAGAAGATAAGTCATCTTTTATTTTTAAAAAACTAAATTAAAAACTTAAAAACAAGAAATTTCAAGGGAGATGCACAAAGAGAGGTGTGTGCACGTGTGAGAGAGGAGAGTTTGAGGGAAAAGGGAGATAGAAAAGGAGAGGACGGAGAGATGGAGGAGAGAGTCGGAGAAGTACCTTCAATTTTAAGAAAGATAAGGCAAGGTGCAACATAACAAAAAAATTGCAAGAAATATCTTCAATTTCTTTTTCTAAATTAAATAATTAAAGACATAATGTGCTTTAGACTCCTCATTTTTTAAACTTCGATGTAGGCCCAGTCTTTAAAAAAATGCACAAGGGTTGACCAAACATATTTACACTTGGAAGGTTTAATGAAGAGTTGATTTAATCCGAGAGCCTAGTCCAAAATCAGAGCAAAACAAGGCCTGAACTAAATGGACAAAATGGTTACTTTTGGTTGAATCAGATAGAAAGCAAGGACTCAATCAAATTGGAGCTTAAAATTTTGAAATTGCCCCCATAAAAAGTAAAGAAGCGCTTTAAGGAGTCCACAAACCTGTATAAACAAATAACAGAAGAATTACATCAATAAAATTTTAGAAAGACTTGATACAACTAAAATATGGCTACAGGACTATGAATCTACTTTCTGCATTATCATCTGCCATATGAATTTATCAACTTAAACCAATCTATAGGTCCACCTTGGTGACAGCAGGGAACATAATGCAATCCAGCCCACAAAGAATCTTTAATTAAACTAAAAGCCAATGCATAAAAAAACTCCACGCAACAAAATGTATCAAGTATATTTGAAAGCTAACCTCCGCAACAATATCAATGGTACTCCATGGTGATCGTACTAGAAAATTGAGAAACTTTGGACCTGTTGACGCACTGCTACCAATGAACCACTTTAAGAAGGGAAGCATGACACGACATGACACGAGCCATATCCAGAATGGAGGTGAATGTGTTCTCCATAATCAAAGCAGAAACCTATCAGATTCAAAAAAAAAAAAAATTGATGAGCAGACCCTAAAAAGAGTCTCAAATCAATCCTAGAATGCACACATTTGCCTCTAAAAATAAATTATGTTTGCTGCAAAGATAAAAACAGCTCAATTGAGGAACAATTGAAGATATGAGCTCATATATTCTTTCTTTCTCAATGTAGTAAGGTTAATTTCCAATTATTGCAGAAGTTTCACCTTGTTTATCAAATGTAAAATAAGTAAATATTTCCAATTTAAACCACTCAATTAAAATTAGGAAAAGTCACAGTTTCCCGCCACAAACTTAAAAAAGATTAGCATCAGTATAATCATGCAAATCTAACTCTACAATAGGTGTTTTCATATACCAGCGCCCTTCGTTGTCTTATCTTTAAGTACCAACTAAGTTTCCACCAAGAACTTGGTAACGTGCACACCACACTATATGGGAATAGCACCTTGCCAAAACAAGCTCCTAATTCTCGCTTGAAAAACAATGATCCTATATGATCCACATCAGGACTGGTTCAGGGTATAAGATATTAAAAACAATCAATAACAGATGTATTTCACAAAATTGTAATAATGAAAATATCTTATGCGAAAGACATACCTTATCAGGATTGTTTCTTGCAATCACTGAACCAACAGCACCTCCCAGAGATCTACCAAAAACAACTATTCTAGATGTGTCAATATCATCTCTTTTAGTAAGATGATCCAATGCTGCCTAGCCAAAAGGGGGAAACAAAACCACCAAAACTCACGAAAAGAACAACAACGTGGAATTAAATTGAGAGAAAAAGACCACAAAACATGTGGCCAAACCTGAGCATCCTTTATAATTCCATGCTGTGATGGGTAACCATCACTTTCTCCATACCTATAGAATATCAACATTTGTGCTTCAGATCCCTGAAGAAATATGCTATGAGTAAAAAAACCATGCACATCCTAGAAATATGCATAGCATCCAGATATAAGAAGTGACAACATAAAGCATATGGAATTTTACCCTCTATATGAAAGCATAAACACATTGCATTCCAGCCTTTGCAGCATCACGCGAATAAATTCAAGACGATGAGCAATATCTAAAGGATACTGGTAAAGGTCGTCAACAGAATGTATATCATCTGAAAAGTTGATAGAGTGGAGGAAAAGGAAAAAAAAAAGGATACTGCCAGCATTCTCTTGGAAGAAGAGTATTGTTGGACCTGCAGTAACAACAATAGAACTGTTACAAACTAACCACGTTGAGGAGTTCATAAACCGCAATAGTTATCTTTTCTACTAATAAAAAAATCACATAACCAATAGAGAAAGATATATATGCTTAGTCATGAATAATGTACCAAGGTAAACAACCACAAACATCATCAAGGTCTTTCCCTCATTAAAAATAATAATAATAATGAAACAGATGCATAAAGGACTACAAAAAGTGTTTCATAATGGATTGGTCTCATACAAAAGTATGTGCAGTCACATAAGAAGCATAGTGGATAAAGTTCTAAAAATAGTAAATACATATGCAAAATATTTTAACTGCAATAACCAGACAAAGAAACATGATAACATGTGATGGAAAATGCAGGATCCCTACAGCATCATCTGAGCCTTATCCCGTCAAAACGGTGTCAACCATGGAGTCAGTAATGAGCTCTACATATTAGAGAATTCACAGCCAACTAATGACTTAATGTCAACCATTTGCATTTAAGTACATTTTGATGCTAATTTACTAGGCAAACAAAATGTGAAAAGGAATTGGGAGGAAAATACCCAAAAAAGATCACACTTTTAGTTAACTTAACGACGACAAAATCTAATATCTAACCTCAAGTCTACGCACCCACTTCATGGTTTACATGTACGCATATCCTAATTAGTTCCAGAACCATGAAATATAAAAAAGGGGTTGTTTGGTCCTCCACAACTATAATTATTAATTTCAATGCAAATATCAGTTGTCTACGTCACATGCATAGTTACTTGGTTCAACTTTAAGCATTTTGCAGCATCTTATAGTTGCATGTGCTTATTTAAGGACATCGATTTTCTTAAACCTCTGTTGAGGTTGGTTGCAATTGAAGAAGCAAGTTAAACCTCAATATAGCTCAAAATGCAACTTATGACCAAATTTTGCAACCGCGTTAGGTTAAGAGTATTCAAAACATCAAATGCATTCACAATATCTTGTAGTTCTAACTCATGTTGGAATTTGGAGGCAACTGTCAATTAGGTATCAAGAATGAGGCCCTAGGTTCGAGCACTCCCAACCACAGAGGAAGGAGATTCAAAGTCTAGGCTCTCCCACCACAAGGGAGCACACCCGCTACCAGGGGCCCACTGCATTCATGATTCATGATATTTCAAGTGTTTTGAAGTAGTCTCCTAAGCCGTCATATGTTGAAGCTAATCTCCCGAATCTTGGAAGCGTTTAGAAATTAGTCTTCCAAATTAGTTAAGATTAAAGGAATTATCCACTCCAAATCAACTAACGGCTAGCTAGGGAGATTAATTTCAAAATGCATAAGAGTTGGGGACTAACTTTAATGATTTGGGGAACTAATGTCAAAATATTAAAGGTTTGAGGTACTTATATCGAACTACACGCAAGCTGCGAAATGCGACGGCGAAATAAATCCAACAATTGAATGAAAGACGAACATATGAATGATTCTTTGGCGGCTTATATTGAAAAAGACGTTTTTTTGTAACATCGATGAGGAAGATGTCATGAAAAGGTTTCAAGAAAGGAGCGAGAGCAATGGCATTGTAAACGCTATAGTCCAATTTGAATCACGATTTTGAGAGTCTAATTGTGTAATGAAGTTATCGTGTTACCCAACCTTGGGCCCCTTAAAATCTTATCGATGTGCTGCAGTGGTGTTGCATATATTTAAGTAAAAGGCCGTTTCTTTTCTCAGGTCTTTGGTTAGGGTTAGCTGCGATCGAGGTTAGCAACCAAAACGTCCCAATTCCAACTCAAATTCAACACTAAAAACTAACAAAATCAAGAAACCTCCAAGCGCGAACGTGAGAAACCCTAACCTTTGACCGGAGGGGAGTGCTTGACGAACCAAGAGTGGAGGCGGACGCCGTCTTGGGAAGTGAGCCAGACGTCCTCGTAGTCCAATCGGAGGCGAGCGGGGGTGAAGGAGTAGGACCGAGGGAGGCCGGGGAGCGCCGGGACGTAGACCATCTTCTCCTGCAGCGCCACCAGCGCCGCCAGCCCCACCACCGCCACGCCGCCAATGCCGTACGCTAGGACCTTCAAGTAGGATCTCATTGGCGATTGCAAACTCCTCCTCGGTTTGAGCTTGGATTTGGGAGCTAGGTTTAGAAAGAAAAATGGAGAATGAGGGGATTTCGACGTTGAGTGAAGCTCCACGGGAGGAGAGAGAGAGAGGGCGACCTTGATTTTGACGGGAGTCTCTTCTTTCCGTCGGACAAATTTTGAAAATGGATCCATTTAAAAAAAAATTACAAAAATCGGCTCATTTACAACATATTTGTCAAAATCGATCCCGTTTCAACCGTCTGGATACAAAACTTCACGGAACTTGACTTCAAGTCCCGAGAAGTTTCTTAAGTTTTTTGGCCAAAATCTACCCAGTTTCAGCCTGAAACCGAGTCGATTTTGACAAATATGTTATAAATGAATCGTTTTTTACAATTTTTTTTAAAAATGGATCGATTTTTAAATTTGTCCTCTTTCGATCCTTTTTTCCCTAGCTATTGAAGCGAGGATGAGGGTGTGGGCGGTGTGGGATCCTCTACTAATGCAGAGTGCCTCTTAATATCTCCTAATGCATCTTCATCTTTCATTGCATAGTATCTCCTCGTATTTTGTGCTTATGCACAAAATGAAAGGTAGAGATGCATTAGGAGATATTAGGAGACACTATGCATTAGTAGAAGATCCCAAGCCGGTGTGGGTTGGCCCGCACGATTTTATTATTTATTTATTTTATTTTGGATATTAGGCCCTTAAATCATCACTATTTTTTATATTCATTTCTCAAATTGCATTAATATTATTGACACTAGTCCCTCGGTTGTTATTGCTGCGGAAACCCTCAACTGCATGATGAGGTTGGGACTAACTATAGGTGGCAAATTACCAAAACGCTCACCCCATTTAATGCTTTAACTAAATATTAGATCAACAATCAAGAAAGGAAGTGGTAGAGTAGAGGAGGACTTCTTGTCATATCTTGAAGTGGATTGGGTTTCTTCTTCTGCCGTTGATCCACTGTTATTTGCATCATTGAAATTAATGGGAAAATTTTGATATGTTTTTTTTTTTTTTTTTTGCTTTGGCTCACGGTTAGAGAGAAAGAGATAAGTTCAGAAGGAGAAAAGGGATGCGGGTGGAGAGCATGGAGTGTTTTCGCCATTAAACAGAGAAGAGAATTGGATTTCTCGATGTGCAGAGGCCGTTGGAGAAGAAAGCTATGAAATGTGTAAGCGTGAGGGTGACGCTACAGGCACACCCTCTACAACACCTCCGGTCATGCCCCCTCTCCCTCTACAGTGCAAGGGGGCCCCACCTGAGATTTTTTTAAAAATCTCAGGTGGGCCCCTCTGCACTGTAGAAGGAGAGGGGGTGTGACCGGAGGTGTGGCAGAGAGTATGTCTGTAGTGTTTTTCTAAGCGTTATAGCTGTCCTTTCTAGGAAGAAGTTAAACTTAACAAAATATTCTCCGTTATTTATAAATTCACCTAACTACATAGACTAGTATCAATATACTAATACAATTTGGGGAAGTAATATCAAAATTAAAAAAATTTGGGGGAGTAATATCAAAATAGTGATGATTTAAGGGACCAATATCCAAAAACTAAATTTTTTAGTTTTTAAAGATTTTTTAATTGTCAAAACAAAGTTTTTAAAATTTTTTAGTATTTGCGAAGGCTAACCTTTAGGGGGGGTTGGTTTTGAATAAGTATTGTTTAAAATGTGGACCTTATTCCTTGAAATTTTGAATAAATGCTAAGGGATCATGATAATTTGAGGGTAAAATAACAAAGTACTTGTATATTAAGGGATATACGCGGGGAAAAAAATTATAATTGAGCAGATTAATTTGTTTAGGGGAAAATTTATTTATTATGTTGTATCTGTTTTATTTTCTTTTAAATCAAATGAATGACAACATATTAGAATTTCTCAAAATTATCTTCACAATTATGATAAGATAAAATAATTTATCTTGTCATTTTAATAGCAAGTTAAACGAATTTTTCTTTTAGTGATTGGTTGGTGTTATGGTAATTTACCATTTAAAGATGAAGATATCGAAAAATTATCTGCATAGGCGTAAAAAATCTATGGTCCAAACTAGCTTAGAGGCCCAAAAGCCCAGCCAAGAGCAAGTCTATCGGTCAGCCGAAGACGAGTCATTTTTTGACCAAGGGTCATCATTACCGACTCGAAGTGTGGGATCAGTCGGTCCCCCGTAATTAAGACGACTCCTCGAACAGACGTCTCGACCATACACTCGATCCGAAGCTCACTCGGCTGTCGGGTCGGGAAATCATAAAGACAATCCACGAACCGACCCGCCTTTACTAAGGGGATGAGATCCAGCTAAGCTCGCTTCAGATGTCAATCAGCACTACAGCACTGATCAGTCCTATCAATATCTCTGCTCTGACAAATCCCGTGCATAAGACGCTTATTCTACTTACAAGTCATTTCCCAGAGATCACCATGATGCTCCCCTAGGCTCGAATGACTTCCCCTCCAATCACCAGCCGCCATCTGGAGGGGGAAGAACGACCAAGCAGCTGGCCTATCCTCTGCCCTGCCTCATCTGCCCGCCATCTGGAGGGGGAAGAACGACCAAGCAGCTGGCCTATCCTCTGCCCTGCCTCATCTGCCAAATCCAGGATATTGAGAAGACATTTCTCTCCTGTACTCGAATGACTTCCCTTCCAATCGCCAACCAACATCTGGAAGGAGAAGGATGACTCAGCAGCCTGTCTGCTCACCCCTCAACCGCTTGCTGTGCATAGTCAAAGCCAAAGGGTCAAACTCTCAGAGGCGACGTGCTATAAAACACCAGCTGACTTGACCGTCGGATGTACCACGAGGGAAATGAGCCCCGCCCTCCTACGGGTTTCTTCTCGTTTGTGCAGAAGGATCATGAATTCCAGTCTAAGAATCAGACATAAAGTCGGAGGAGGAATCAGCCTCATCTCTCATCCTCTCCCTATTCGCCGCTAGCGTGAAGACCAGAACCGCAACCCCCTCGACTGTGTGATATCAGACATCAACAGTTGGCTAATGTAAATTTGGACTTAAAATTACAAACTCGACATGATTGATGCTTTGTAGAACTAATTTAATCAGGACATAATCCTTGCATGAAAAGTGAGGGGCAAAAAGCTAGAGCATCACATAATTTTTAGAACCAAATTATAATTTCCAAACAAGACACAATTAATATCTAAGTTCCACGTGTCACCAATGCAAAGTAGCTGGCAGCTAGCACCTTTTAAAATTTCTAGAACTAAACTTAATTAAATACATTAAAAAAATTAAAACTAAAGATTACAAAAAATGGGGAGGGAAAAAAACATGACGAAAGGCCTGTCGGGCCCCCAGAATTAAAGGGAAAGCAAGTTTCATAACAATTTTGAAAATTATTAATTTGGGTAGAGGTGGCTTATTTATTAATAATAATAATAGAGTCTATTACTAATATTAGGAAAAAATTATTGATTAACCCAAAAACAATTTATATTTGCACCAGAAGAAGAGAGAGAGAGAGCAGAGTAAAAAGCGAAGTGTAGAGAGAGAAAGGAGAAAGAGAAAGCAGCAGAGGGTTTTCGATCAAAGAGTCATGCTCCCCTAAAGAGGTACTTCCTTCTTCTTCCTCCAATAACAAAATCCCCAATTATTTTATTTACAGATTTACCTTCTGTGCTGATTCTACTCTGAGCTCTGACCAAAACCCATCCTTTTCGATTCCTTCCGTATGATTGGGATGTTTTGGGAACTGCGTTTCATGGGGATCTGATTAGTTGTTTGTTTTCTTTGTCAAATTCATGTTTTTTTTGGTTATTTGTGGTTTGATATTTGGGATTGAATTTCTGTATTTAGTTCAGGTCTGTGATGATCTGGGTCATGGGTTTTGTTCATATGCTTGTTTTTTGGATAATTTTTAGTTGATTTTAACTGAGGTTTGAGTTATGTATCTGATTCTGATGATTTTTGTCAACTTTGTAGAGAGCTTAACTGTTTCCTATTTGCTTGATTTGTTTGGGGGAAATTTGTTGAATTTTGCAGTTCTGCATGCTGGTTTTGGTGGTTTCTATATTTTTGTGTTTATTTTGGTAATAAATATTCATTTGATTATTTTGGTGTGGTCTTATTGTGATACTAGTTGATATTGCTCATGAGTTTCTTGCATATAAGCTTTTGTTTGCCTGCTATTTTTGTTTGTTTTTAGCTGCATGTTTGATTTTACTCGGTTTATACATTGGTTGCAGTTTTGCATTTATTTAAGTGTATGTTTAAGGTTCAATCACTTTGGATAAGCTTATTTTAACTGCATAGTTGGTTCCTGTGGTTTCTTATATGCTACTGAGTTTTTTTTTTTTGAAAAATAAAGTTAGTGTCAGTTTATTTTTATGATTTTGATCCATGCATCAAAATCATTGAAATGTCATACTTGTAATTTCTAAACTGTCATAAAATCTATGTCCATATATCATATATGTAGTTAAAGTATCATTTAAGTATAGGAATCAACATTTGTAGTTGGTAAATCCCTGTGTTTGCAGATCGGTGCTTGCATGTATTTTTAATATTATTTTACTCATGGTTCGCATTCATTCTTTTAATTGGCAAAACTATTTGCTTTCTTGAAAATTTTCTTTAATCATGTATTTATGCAAATTTTGAATTATTTGAAATTGACATATAGCACATATGTTTTAGAAACATTTACAAAATATTTAATTCTAACGAACAAAGAATCCAACTAATGTTTGCCAACATTGAACCTTATTGTATTTCCGTATTTGTGTGCATAGCGTGTTTTTTTTCCTGTTTTGTGATTTGAGTATGTGCTATGTTCATTTATATGTTTCTTTTGACGAATCTCTGTTTAAGCTCTATTGGGTCTAATAGTCAGTTAGCATGTTTGATCGTGCTATAGCAAAACTTTATATTTATATTGCATTAGACATCTGATGTAATGATCCATATATAAGAAAAAATTTGATGTATGCGCCAGTCCTTATTCGAGAAGGTACCATATGGTGCCAATTTTTCTAGTAAAGGTGATAAAAATGGAAGGACTGTCCTCAGGATTACATTAATGGTTGATGCAATGCTCATTATGATTTGCTCCTAGTTATGAACTGATTTTTATTTTTTACTTTTCGCTTTGTGAGATGGTAGGCATAAATAAGTTGGTGGGATTCTTCTTCATGTTCTGTTATATGCATTATATGATTAGTTTTTCTCTTAAGATTGAAAAAAACATTTTTGCAAGCTTATTATTTTCTGTACAATGTTTTTAGTTTATACCGTTCTTTAATCAAATGCATTCATCTTTGCTTCCCATGCTTTTGACATAAATTCAAGTTTTATGACTAGACTATTTGTCATGCTTTCTGAGATGTCATATGAAGCCTTCTAGTGTTTGATGATTGTATCTTCTTAAACTAAATGCTTTCTGAGATGACATAAATTCAAGCTTGTACTTTGTACTTTTTCATGTTTGCAAGCCTGACTGCTAGGTTGTTAAGCATTCATTAGACAAGATGGATTACACATCTGTCATGGAAAAGCATTTGTATTTGAATGTATTAGTGGGAACTTAGTTCATATTGCCATATAAGTCTACTGTTCTATACTATTATTTAAGCACAGCAAAATATTTTTTCTCGCTAAAGTAATTTTTTCTGAATACTGTAAATAGAAGACTCATTAATTTGCTTGTCACTAAACCTCCTTGAAGAAAAATATTATTTTAAGTGGAAATACGTCGTAATGGTTTGAAGTATGTATTAAATGTTTCAGTAAGTACATTATTCTTCTACAGGCATAACTTGGTTTCACTAGTTGCAGCTGTAGCCTGAGAGCTACGGAGATTTGTTTCCCTATTTGAAGACTTGAAAAATCTAAGAATCTAGTTATGTCTCTGGAGCATGTGGAGGGTTTTGAAATGCGAAATATCGGCAATAAGGATTCAAAGGAAAGCTCAGCCTATTCAACACCTAATTGTGTGAATTTACCATCGTGGTGGAATTCAAGTGCATCGAATTATCCACCATCTTATCCTAAGAATTTGTACATGAACATGGACCCTCTTGCACCACAAGAAAATCAATTAAAGTATTTGGGCGCTCATATTGCTGATCAGGACTCCTCATCCACTCATTCAAGTGATCAATCACACCAAGAATTGTCGGGTTCTACTGAAAGCAAGAGTCAAGGACAATGCATTTCTGCACAGTCTGGTATACTTTCCAGTAACATTATCTTCAAAGTTTTTTAATTACTATGATTATGAGGTGCATATCCTTTCTTACTTTAAATTCTGTAAATTGTTTGCACATACTTTTTCTTTCGTATGTTGGTATACAGGAAAATAAGGTACTATGGAGATCTTAGCATGCTGAACCTTGATTTTGCTGTCTTAGCTTTATTCCTTTACATCATAACTTCTGTTTTCATTCTAGTTCTTTATGCAATCAGATCATGTTTCCTTGTTGCATGGGATAAATATTTTCCCTCTGGTACCTACACTGCTGTGTTCTTTAACCATACAATTTTCATATACACAATCTTTTGATTAGAATTATTGATGTATGCTTCATTATACTTTATCTATTTCATTGGATAAATAGTATTACTGTCTAGTGTGCTGTGTGTTTTAACTAGGGGTGCATTCGGTCCGAATACGGCTTGGATATGGTGCCTACCATATCCATATCCGCTTACTCATCTTGGATACGGATATACCTCGGTAAGGAAAATTCATATCCATATTCGCTAAAATCGGATACGGTTACAGATATATATGCAGATATATAAGCAGATATGCATGCAAGTACAAAATGGATATGAGAAAGCTAGATAGTGTTGAGAAAAACATAGTTCATGTAATGCAAAAGAGTTCGTTAATATGTTCATTATAACTGAAAAGTTAAGATTAGACATATTGATCATCAAAATTAACCACAAATCCATAATCTAAGCATTATAACTGAAAAGTTAAGATTAGACATATTGATCATCAAAATTAACCACAAATCCATAATCTAAGAATCGAAACTATCGTAAGAGTATGACTAATATGTATTCGGATATTTCGGATACGGATACAGATATTTCACTATAAAACCATATCCGTAACCATATCCTATCGGTTATAGATTTGAGTAACCATATCCGTATCCGGATACGGTTACGGATATTTCCTCAGATACGGATACGGTTTAGCACCCCTAGTTTTAACCATTCAATTTCCTCATACACAATCTCTTGATTTGAACTCTCAATGTTGTCTAAATGAACCAACTATAAGCCAATTCGTGCATTCTTTATCCCTGGGCATCATTTATTGCTGTCATGTTTAAAGCTTCCACTTGACCTCCTTGCTGGTATCTTTTGCTTCATGAATGTGAGCATACGTTCTTCTATCTTGGTTACCACAGTGTTTGTACAAGACTGTAATAGATCTGATATTTCTTCCGTTATCTTTTTCTTAGGCAATGAGGACGCATTTGAGAGGCATCTTGAGGGTCACTTAAAGTCGGCATCATCTTCTGGAGCTCCAGAAGTGGCTTTACCATCTGCCAAACTTGATTACAACCCATCTATTGTAAGTTATCATAAGGGTTTTTACATGAAAATCACCTTAACTTTTGTCCAAATTGATACTTACCACTCTTCTTTTTTATTTTTGATCAAAACCACATTTACTTGCATTCATGTTTGCAATTTCACATCTAATTGATTTTTCAGCTTAAAAAAACCCTGAACTTTTGAAAATACCCTCACTCAACACGTGCAAAATACATGTGTTCCAATTTAAAAATAAGGGGGTTTTCAATATTAGTCCCCCAAATCTTTCATATTTTGATATTAACCCCCCAAATATATCATATATTGGAATTAGTCCCCCAAATCGATGTCGTCCTTGCCGGAGGGGGCTATGGGGAGGTCGAGATCGTCAATTTTTGCTCCTTAGGTAGAGTTTTGAGAGTTTTTTCTTGGATTGGAGGGCGGGAGGGATAGAAAATCAAGGGGAGGTGAGGTTAGGGTTTGGGGGAGCATTGAGGGAGTGTTTTCTTGGATTGGAGGGCAGGAGGGAGAGAAGATAAAGGGGAAGTGAGGTTAGGGTTTGGGGGAGGATTGAGGAAGTGTTTTCGTGGATTGGAGGGCAGGAGGGAGGGAGGATTGTGGGAAGGTAGGGTTGGAGATTGGGGATTGGGAATTGGTAATTAGGGTTTGGGGATTGGGCTAGGGTTTGGAGATTTGGATTTGGAAATCCATGGCTGTTTGTGAGAGAGCGAGAGCATGAGGGAGAGGGAGAGGGAGAGGCCCAGGGCGAGGGTGAGAGGGAGGGAGGGTCTAATTTCAAAATATGAAAGATTTGGAGAACTAATATCTAAGGAACCCCAATATTTATAATCAATTAAGAAACACATGCTTTAGGTTGGGGGGTAAAATGGGAATTTCACACCTTTTTTGAGCTGAAAAATCTATTAGATGGGACATAGGAAAGATGGTTTTGATCAAATATAAAAACCAAAGATGGTAAGTATTAGTTTGAATAAAAGTTAAGGAGGTTTTCATATAAAAACCCTTATCATGATGCCATAAAGCTCAGAATGGGCTTTATTTATCATTATTATCTGGGTTCACATGATCATTTGAGTTCAGATATTTTTTAGTATGCTTATGCCTAATGGTAGTTCTGATGTTTGCTTCATAGGCTTGCATTCCATATCCATATACTGATCCATACTATGGGGGAGTCCTTGCTCCTTATGGCTCTCATGCTATTGTAAGTTTGTTTTATCCTTCTTCTTTCCAAGTTATAGAAGTGAAGTTTTTCTCTGTATTTTTTTGTTGTTCTGTTGGCATGTCTTTTTTGCTATTAATATCAGACTTATGTCTTCTCTCTTATTTGCTCATTCCCCTACCAATGGTATGTATAAAATAATGAAAATCTGTTAGCGAAAGATCCAAGAGCTTGGTATTAGGGTTCTCTTTCTGGGAAATTCTTGCTAACATGAATGGTAGTTTCTATTGTGGAACTGAATCTCTTGTACCTTAATATTGTTCATAAGTGATATAAGAACTATTTTTTTATTGTATTTGTGGAAATCTGCAACTAGTACACTTATCATTTGTGCTTTGAACTATGAAGCTGTTCTTGGATTCAAGTTTTGTTTCTTTTGATTTCTGTTCACTGTACAACAGGCTCCAAAATCAAATACTGAATCTATTCATGCATTGGAGCTGCTTTTTCTCTTTCTTCCGTTGTGAGCACACTTCTTGGACTTAAGCGCAGTGTAAAGGTTCATTTTTAACTGTCAAAGAAGAGGAAATGATCCTAGGCTATACACACGCTCAACACCTTTTACAGTGCACTACAGCATTGATTTAGGATTCAGGTTCTATAGTTGGGAGAACTACAAGCATGTGAGTCACTGTTAACATGTGCAAACACGACATAAAAAAAACAACCCCACCCCTCCCAAAAAAAAAAAACAAAACAAAACAAATGATTCGTCCAAACTCTGAGCTTCATCATAAAGGTCTGCAAAATTTCCTCTCTTTGTCCTTGGCATCATAGTTTGGGTCAGACCACCTACTAGATCCAGGTCGAATAATCCAAGACATGAACGAAAATACAGGTCCTTTTCCCTCCCTTCCTGCCTCCCTCCCTCCAAATAACCTCTTCTAGGATTTTCATTTTTTTATGATCAAGGGTAACCTCCTTCTTTCTGTTTATATTGTTATAAATGTCGAATATAATGGATCTTCAAAACAGCAAGTACATAAGCTCCTTATCTACTACATTCATAAGTGCTTCATAGCTCTGGACTTTTGAGGGTAAGCATTCGGTGGTAATGCTTTCAGCAGATAGTGCAATACGACTTTTGTTATGCTGACTGACAATTTGTTTTAGGAGGTGTTTTTACGTAGACTATCTGATTAGCTGTTTGAAGGTCTTCGTATATTCTGACTGGGTTGGGTTTTGGATTTTGACAACTGTTACTTACATAAGGTTTTCTGATACCTAATTCATTCTTAATTCTTTCTCTCTTAGTTCAACATACAAGTATGATATATTTTCCTGTTAAATTCTACGTAAGACGGTAAGAATTATATTTTTCTATATTATCTTAGTATGTTTCTGGTTTACTATTCCAAACTAACACCGTGCTTCTGCTAGAGATATCACATAAATTTGAGGTTATTGAAGTCGTTCTCTACTCTGGTTAAGATGTATTTTTTGTATTTAACATGCAGTTGACACCCATTGTTGATATAGCGTTATTGAATAATAACTACTAGGTGCTTTGGCTATTACTTTTTGGCCGCAATATGCTGTTTACATTAATTTGTAGATTTGGTTGATTTTCAAACTTAAATAGGCTAATCTTCAGGTGTCATATGTAGGGTTGTTAATACCACATGACCAAAGTTTTAAAGATCTGTCTTTGGATTCAGCTGAATGTCCTGGATTCTAAACTTGTTTGTCTTCTTTGGAATGTCCTGATTAAAACTCCACATGGATGTTTGGTTGATGAGCCTCTAGGTAAAAATAAATCATTAAGCATCTGTCAATTTGATTAATATATATTACCTGGTTAACAAATCCATTAAGTTCTGTACAATATTTCCTTTGGAATTATCTTGCTTATTAGTTCATGAATGATAGTAAAAAGAAGCTCATTATCTTCCAGTGAACACATTTATTTCCTCTTTTCCTATTAATTCATACGGGACATAAAAACGTGGCCAGAGTTTTGTGCAATTTAAGTGAGGATCCTAGAGTCTCGACAGTCCATCTTATTTTTCCCCTTCAGATAAATGGTTTTTTTAGATCAAGCACAATATTGAATTTGATTGCTGGAGGTACTATCTGAATATGGAAATCAATCAGGTGACATTAGTTGGAAAAGTTTGAGCTATTGATGGAAAATGAGATTATGTGAAACTCTTTAAGGAAAGCTGCAAACAATTTAAAATAGTTCGGTAGTGTGAATTATAATCCATCTGTTAACTATGATTCATTTTATCATTGCAATATGATAGATTCACCCCCAGTTGTTGGGAATGGCTCCATCTTCTCGGGTCCCATTACCTCACGAGCAGGCTGAAGAAGAACCCATTTATGTCAACGCGAAGCAATTCCATGCCATCCTTCGGAGGAGAGAGCTCCGTGCAAAGCAAGAGGCTCAGAACAAACTTATCAAAGGGAGAAAGGTGTGGAGTTATATTAAAGCACTTTCTGTTTTCTCGTTGTATGAAACTGATCATAAAATTCTGAATATCAGCAAAGTAATCCTGTAAAAAATGGAGTAAAAGGGAAGTCCTAGGCAGTTCTTTTTGTATAAGTATATACCAATTAGGAAAAGTGAGCAAAGAGGATTAGGGGTTGGTGTAAGAGAACTTGGTGTATTTGTAGCAGTGAACTTAATGGAGGAAATATCACTGAACAAAACTGAATAGAAGAATATGATTCGTGTAGTCATCCCCAAATTTTACGATAACGACGGTTGTTATTGTAGATTTGTAGTTTTTATATGATTGGTTTGGTAGAAAGTCCCGGGCCTCCACTTAGGTCAACAACATTTGTATTTCATCTGAGTTTTGCTCTTGCCTCTTCTTCTTTATTAATCTGAGAAGGGACTTTAACTTATCCTACTTGAATCTTTATTTTTCTTCTTTCATTTTATTTTAATTACGTCTCATGCTTTTCACAAATAAAACAACCAAAGATCTGAATCATGAGGAGTAGAAAAATAGTCATCTATGCTTCTCGTTGACTTCAAAAATGTTTAACAATAACGAATCCTTTATTTCAACCTTTTGGGTCAGCTATACGAACTATAATCTTCCATTCAGTTCAGACTACCTCTTCCACTAAGTTAATCATTATCACATCTTTCTTAATGGCTCCTAACCAAGTTCTATTAGACCCACGTTAAGTTCTCCTTTCCCATTAAGGTAAATTGCACATAACCCCGTATATATACCTTCTGTTACACTAAACCCCCTCTTTAACTAATGTAGTAGTACTTAGTACCCTTCACATGTCATTTTTAGAAAAATAAACTGCAAATAACATCATGTTTCTCGTGAATTGACGGGGCTAAGTGCTACTAATGAGTTTGTGGGGGGGGGGGGGTCTCAACTCTGGTATAGATGAGGGGATGTATGTGCAATTTACCCTTTCAGTTAATCATAATCTTGTCATTTTTCTGCTATGTTTAATGACCAGCTTGAAAATTTGTTCACATTCTCATTGTTTCCTCCAGCCATACCTTCACGAATCTCGGCACATGCACGCAATGAAAAGGGCTAGAGGAGTAGGCGGCCGCTTCTTAAACACCAAGAAACTTCAGCAGCGAACAGAACCATCGGAGAACAGAACCAACGCTGCAGGCTTAGCTGGCTCTGATGTTTCAAGCATCTCCAATGGCAATGGCAACGACAACGGAGGCTTTCATCATCATCAGAACCACTTCGACTTCAAATCCCACATCATGGGAAACGGGCAAAACAGCGGGCAGCATAGGGTTTCAGTGATGAGATAAATCACCGGAAATATTTATCGGGCAATTCATCCTTGGCTATGAATATGGTAGCTTACTTTGATCAAGTATATGTTAGCCACAAGTTAGGTGTCACATAGTTTAACTTCTGGGTTTTATTTCCATATAATGTATTCAGTGTTGAAGTAGTGGGATTCCTTTGTTTGGGGTATCTGAGTGTGTTCTCATACTGTTTATAGAGTTCTGTTGCTCAAACCTGTGTATCGATGGGAGTATCTCTTGCTTTTGTTGTCGCTTAGAACTTGTGGCGGTTGATAAATTGTTAGAATCTGTGTTACAAATTAGCATGTGATATTGTAGTGATTGTGATGGTTTTCTTTGAAAAATTGACATCTGGGTTATATTGTAGATAATCTGAATCAATTATATGTATGACTTATTCAGTGTGAAATTGTGTGCTAGCTGATAAATTGGTAGATTGTGTGCAACATTTTATGGATTGTTGAGAAAATCAGTACTCAAATGACAAAATAATATACATAGCTCCATTCAAGTGTTACGAATAGTCTCTCTCAGGTATGGAAGTATCATCTCCTTATTTTAGTGAATTTTTTTTTAAAAGAATTAAGTCTTAAGAAACTAACATGAGCTTTCTTTGTTTCTTCAAAAAATACAATAAACATTGTATAACTAAAATACCACCATGAACTCCTACTAAGTATTCAAATCTATTTCCCAATGAATAATATACAAGTAAAAACTAATCTCTTCACCATTAATTATTCTTTTCACTTAATCTACTTCAATTTCTCCAAAAAAAATTCCATGGAAACTATCATGAGTCCAAGGGACTGTTTAGTAACTCCTTGAAATGAGGCTCGGGTAAAACTGAGGTAACGTTGGCTCGTTTTTATCCAAAGTTGACATTTAAATGATTTTATTTTTCAACCATCTTCCCATTAGACCAAAACGAAACTAGTTTAGTTTAAAATAGAGCCATGATTGATTCTGTTCAAGTTGAGAGTCGTTGCCGAGTACACCCTAAGTTTCAGTGGATCAGCAAAACCCTCCTCCTTGGTCCTCTCATTGGAGCTTACGCGCAAATTTTATTTTATCTCTGAATTTTAAATTATTTATGGTGCTTAGTTCAGGTTAAATTTGGCACTTTTCATGTTGTTGGATTACCCAATTCCTTAGGAATTACTGTGTTAGTTTGTTCTTACAATATTAAGTCAATAGAATTCAATTATTATGTTCTTATAAGAGTTCTAGTTTAGTTTGATAAAAGTGAGTACTAACGAAAATGCCATAAAAACGAGAAGGCTCGCGGTTGCGTTCAGATCGACGGGCGTTGCGAGCGGAGGGGTAATGACCGCATGATACTGTAAATACATTTCTAGCTACTTCTAACCGAACACACACGGTTGTGTCCAAACTGACTAGTGCGGTTCATCCTACGAAAACACAGCCCTATTATAGATAAACCAGAAGAGATACGCATAAAATCATTGCATTATTCTTCGTAACAAGTCTATTGAGTGTTAACAATAATATATGCAAATGATTTGATGATTGATTTTTTACGACCATTCTTGACATATATTGGCAAACGATAAAATTCTCGAAATATTTTTACGACCATTCTCAGTGATCAAGCCAAACACTGTTTATATCATGTTATAATGTCTTGGGAGGAAAAAAAAAAGTTTCTATACAAGATAATTAAAAAAATAGAAATTATTTGTTCATTTTGCCAATGATTTCTCTACCGATACACCTATGTCAAATTCCTGGTAGTGAAGCGCGAATACATGTTAGCAGAATAAAATGAGATTTTACTCAAAATCAAAGCCAAATCTGAACGTAACTGATCATGCTACTTTATGCATTAGGGTGTCCCCCTCTTTGCTTTTGTCATCACCAGATTTTAAGCATTTAACATAAATAATGATAAAATTTTCTTCTTGCTCTCATGTACTTAAGTTATCACTTCTCATAGTTGATGCAGAATAACTTGACATGTGCTCTCGCTTGTTTAGTGTTTAACTTAACAATCATTGTATGATATGCTTCATTGTACATGGAAAAAAAATAGGTTTTTTTTTAAAAGATACTAGTTCCTTTAATAACTGCATATATATTAGTCCTCCGGTTCTTGAAAATTGCATATTAGTCACTCAAATTATATAGGATCTTGCAAAATGGTCCTTCAAGTTAAATCACATTAGATGTAAACAAAATATTCCATCAAATCCAGCGGTTAGAGGCAAAGTGACCGTTTTATCCTCTATATATTATCCTGACCCATTTCTTAATGGCCTCAAGTACGGTACACGTCTAAAAGAAAATCCAAAGCCCGTTTGAGTTCTTTTTCTCCAATGGTTAGAAATGAACTCTGACCCAAAGTTGAGCTTCACAAAGGTTTGAAAAATATAAGAGAGATGAGTAGTTTCGTGATAGCTTCAACATGGGGACTATTTTGCAAGATCTTATAAGATTTGAGGGACTAATATGCAGTTACTGAAGATCTAAGGGACTAATTATTTCCTCTAGAAACACGAGACTGATAATTCACACTGAAAGAACGTGATAAACTGAAAACTGCTAGAAGCCCGTTATCTTTTTTTTTTGGTGTGTGTGTGAAATTAACTCAACACAAAATCACACAAAATCACACAAAATAGAAGTAATTGATCTCGAAGACTTCATAAGTCTAAACAGTTAAATAGTCATTAAAGATGATTAGTAGCTACTGTTCACTATATACATATACACACACGCGCAACAAAAGGTATACAAAGGAAAACATGCAAAGAAAATAAGGCTCAAATTGAAGATCCAGATCTGAGCACCTTCTCAAGCTTTTCCGCCTTCACGTAGTCCTTCTCTGTGAGAGGTCCAGCAGGGAAAGGAGTTATCTCGACGACCAAGTGTGGAGTTGGGAGCTCATCAAAGAGAGCTCTCACATTGTTGCAGCATACACTCTCTCCATGAGCATTTTCCCTCCGTATTTGACAACCCTAAACGACCAGAGAGATTTCAGTTACAAGAGAAAAAAATCAAGGCAAGCGTATGGGAAGAAACCGAAAGTATGATATGTGGTACTATAGCCTGCACAAAATTTAGACATTACGTCAGTAATCAGTATAAATTATTCGAAATTGCAATTTTGGCCTAAATTCTAATGAGTAGGCATCCAAACCAGTGCAACCAAGGATGAATTAATCCTACTGCTGAAAGATTGCACGAGTAATCATCTGAAATAGAATACATTTTCCCCTTCATGAGTTATGTTTTCTATAATGTGGCTGCTAAAATAAGATAGTTATAATTTGCTCGTACTGAACATAGAACGAGGAAGAATAGCTTGAGATGGTTTAGGCATATTCAACAGAGACTAATAGCTGCACCAGTCAGTAAAAATGATGGGGATTAATGGAGTACTGAGGGCTAGAGGTTGGCATTACCGAACTTTGATAGAAGCAACTAAGAAGAATGTGATAGTGGCTTAGTTGATTGAAGAGATGACCATTAGCACATGAGATGAAGGCTTTACTTCGTTGTTGATTGCCAAAGAAATGTTCATATATTCTGATATGATTATCATGATCTGCTGATATTTTGAGTTCCTACTTGGACTCGAAGATGGTTTATACTTCAAAGTAAAAGCAAAATTGATAAGAAATTTCCCATACTTTGATTCTGAAACCATTAACAAAGTTGATAATTACCAATAAACACCCCTGTTTTGAACTCGACACTTAGCTACCTTTATAATTCATTGTTTATCCTAGCTTTGATCATCTAAAATGTCACAATTTACGAATGACACATATCATGATGCTGCTCAGCGTAAATGAGCAGAAGCCGGTGTATGCATATGAATGGAAAGGTTAGGTAATGTAGATGCTCTCAACCATATAAAAATGTGTACGATAACTTTAAAGTGAAAAAAATCGCACCAAAAAAAAATCCAAAACATGTCAAAGCTACTCAACGGGCATGCAATAACATCAAGTAATTTTAAAACACTCAACATCAGGTTGCCGATTACCTTATGAGAAGTAACGTCCACGAAATGATCGTCATCAGAGAGCAAAGCAGCAATGGCTTTAAGAAGTTTTCGCCCCTGAGCTTTTGAAGGCACTCTATAACTCCGCTTAAGTGTACCTTTTGTTGTGGGATGCCAGTTCTTCACTAATTTCCTTCTATCACTGGCTTCTTTCTCACCTGGTTACCATGTTTCACAACAAACTTCTTAAGTTTATCAATGTTGATTACTGCAAAAGAAAATCTCTCAAGCTATAAAATGCTGTCCTGATGGAAGTTGAAGTTGATTTTTCTTATATAAATCCTTCTTTGGACTAATGAAACTGCTTCAAAGAGAAATGCTTCAAAGAGTAAGCTTATTTCTCTTTTGATCTTTCTTCAAGAAGACGTTGCCAACTGAGGAACAATTTATCTTTCTCGAACTAGTCACGAAAATAAAATTTGAACTTAGCTTGTCAGTTGCTTTTTGCTCTTTAAGCACAAACAATCAGTATGTGACTCTACAAAAGAAAGCTAATGCATCATCCAATTGTGGCAAATTTCTTCGGTAGGGAACACAATGGCTACAAAAGATGACCAACAAAATTTACAGCTACAAATCCATTAAAGATCTTCGGAATCAAATTCATCAGACTTAGGCATGTCAAAAGACATAGTAATGTGAGCGAATGTCCAAAACTAGTCAATGCTGTTCTCTTTGCTTCAACAATCCACATGAGTTTCCCAATCATTTTCAATTAATCATAAGTTAAGCAACATAAAGTGACTTAGTATTTCCAATATCCCAAAATAATTCTTTTAAAAAAAATCAGCTAAAATAAGCTACTATATTATGATCGAAACCCAGATCAAGGTAAATACCTGAAGCCCCTTGGAAGCTCTCAAACCACTTGGAAAAACCTAAATCATCACCATCACCTCCCAGCTCTACCACCCGAAAAAAAAGGAAGAAGAAACCCACAAATCAAAAAAAACCAGAAAACCCAAAAACAAAAATTTGGGGGAAAAAGAGATCAAACCAGAAGAGATGATAGGATTTGATGGAGACCCAGCAAGCCCAGCCTTGAGTAGAGCATAGAAGATGCAGAGCCTCCCAGCCCAAAGCACAGGGGCCTCCAACAAAGAGCAACATGGGCTCAACCCAAATCTCCTCCCATTGCTCGCTGGTCTCAAATGGGTCAATTTGATGGAGGAAATGGGGAGAAATGAAGGGAGGAATAAGGTTTTGAGCTTGTTGCTGTTAGTGTAGCGAGAAGTTGAGATTGAGCTTGTAGTGGTGGTGATTGAAGGTGGGAGGAGGATCATGGCTGAGGATGAGGAAGAGAGATTTTTTGGGATTTTGATCTTGGGTTTGTTTCGGGGTTGAGATGAGAGTGAGGAGGTCAGAGAGTCGATCAAGATTCAAGTTTTGGATTTTTTTTAGGACAAATTTTGAAAACAGACCCCTTTGCAAAAATATTCTCAAAAAAGACCCGTTTTTACTTTATTTTTAAAAAACGACCTAGTTTTTCACTTTATTTTCAAAAAATGACCCACTTTGTTGAAACTGGATCGTTTTTTTGTGAAAAATATTCCCAAACTTCACGGCAGTTGAACTCCCGTGAAGTTTTTTTCATAACAAAACTTCACGGGAGTTCAACTCCCGTGAAGTTTGTGAACATTTTTCGCAAAAAACGATCCAGTTTCAGCCTCAGGGCTGAAACTGGGTCGTTTTTTGCGAATATTTTCAAAACGGGTTTTTTTTTAGAATATTTTATAAAAGGGTCTGTTTTCAAAATTTGTCCTTTTTTTTATTTAAAATTGGTTGATAAAGACTGCGGATAGAAACAAAGGAAACAAGGGGAGGCGTCATCCATTGGCTATTTGGCTTATCCTTATTAATAAATGGATTTTTTTATGTGGGGTCGCTGACAAGAACACGATAATTGGATAGGTTTTTAGGTATTAGTCCCTTAAATCTTCACTGATCCCATATTATTACCCACTCAAATTTATGATATTACTCATCAGGCCCTCAAATCCTAGGGTCATTGCAATTTGGTCCGTCAAGGAATAAAATACCCTCAAGTAATGTTTTTCTTTTAAGGGTTGTTGCAGTTCGGCACTCTCAAGTTTACACATTTTTAAACTTTAATATCCCAAGGTTTTTTGACACTTTAATTCCCTAAAGTTTGCACCTTTTTGGCTTTGATACCTCAATCTTCTTTTCTAACGCTTTGATATTGTAAGTTATATTTTAAACTTTCATACCCTAAAGATTTCACAACTTTTAACTTTGATATCTTAACGTTTACACATTTTTAGCTTTGATACCCTAAAGTTTGGGGTATCAAAGTGTCAACAAAACTTTAGGATATTAAAGTTACAAAGCTATAAACTTTATCAAAAAAAAAGCAAGGAAAAGCTTCAAGGTATTAAAGTTCAAAAAGGGTGTAAACTTTGGGATGTCAAGGTATCAAAAAATTTTGGGGTGTCAAAGTGTCAAAAAAAATTAGGACATTAAAGTTAAAATAGTGTAAACTTTAGGGTGCCAATGCGCAAATGACCCTTTCCTTAAACATGATAGCTTTTAAGTGATAAACCATAAATAAAGAGTATTTTGGTTGTTAAGGGATCAAATAGCAAGAGCTCCTAGGATTTGTGGGACAAATGAACAATTGCTGAATTTATATGCGGGGGACTAATGTGGTACTATTGAAGATTTCTAGACAATGTAAAAAGGTTAAATCTTTTTTATTAGAAAGAAAATGAAAAATTACCTTTTCACGAAAATGCTATTATCGCTAGTCCTAAAACCCTACTCTTAAGGGCCTGTTTGGATTTGTAGGGGGTGAAGGGAAGTTAAGGGAAACTGAGTGAAAGGAAGAGAAGAGAGTTCCCTTCCCCTTTGTTACACCTCAATTTGGGGGGTAACAATTTTTATACTATTAGAGGGTGAACCAAGGGGAACTAGGGTGATCCCTTCCGCCGATGACGACCTCCTCAAAGCCCTGATCTCCTCCCAAAAACCTAACCGAGCCCTAGCCCTCTTCCGCCTCATGCTCAGATCCCAAATCCTCCCCCAAACCGACTCCTGCTACCGCCTGCTCTCCTCCTTCGTCAAGCTCAAGCAACTCGACAAGGCCTGGATCGTCTACGCCGAGATGTTCCGCTCCCGGATCCGATCCACCGTCCACACCTTCAACATCATGATCAACGTCCTCTGCAAGCAGGGCGAGCTCCGAAAAGGCCAAATCTTTCACCCATTTCATGGAGGAATCCGGTGTCGAACCCGATGTGGTGACTTACAGCACGGTTGTTCATGCGTATTGCATGAGGAGGCAGGTTGAGCTGGGTGTTGAGCTTGTGAATTTGATGAGGGAGAAGGGGATTGCGCCCGATGAGTACACTTATGGGTCGATAATCTCGGGAATGTGTAAAGAGGGGAGAGTTGGTGATGCTTCTCGGGTTTTGGGGGAGATGGTGGATGCGGGCTTGGCGCCGAGTTGTTGTGATTTACAATGCTTTGATTGATGGGTATTGTAACAAAGGGGATTTGGGAACGGCGGTTGGGTATAGGGATGAGATGGTGAAGAGGGGGATTGAGCCGACGGTTTCTACGTATTATGTGTTGATCCATTCTATGTTTATGGAGGGAATGCACGAGACAGTGAAGGAGCTGGCGAAGGAGATGGAGGGGAAGGGTTTGGTGCCTGATGAGGTCACCTATAATATTTTGATCAATGGGTATTCGAAGGAAGGAAATGTGAAGAAAGCATTTGAAATGTTTGAGGAAATGTCAATGAGAGGAGTGAAACCTACTCCGGTTACTTATACTTAGTTGATTTGTGTACTTTCGAAGAAGGGTAGAATTCTTGATGCGGATAGGATGTTTAGAGAGGCAATTCAGAAGGGATCATCGCCTGATCTTGTGATGTTTAATGCTTTGATTGATGGATATTGTGGTAGCGGTGATATGGAGCGAGCATTAGGAGATGAAGACTAGGAAGGTTGTTCCTGATGAGGTTACTTATAATATACTCATGAGAGGGTTTTGTTTGTTGGGAAAAGTTGAGGAGGCTCGTGGTCTTCTTGATGAGATGGAAAAATGCGCGATAAAACCAGATCTTATTAGTTATAATACTCTCATCAGTGGTCATAGCCGGAAAGGCGAGCTGAAGGATGCTTTTATGGTTAGAGATGAGATGTTGAGCAAGGGTTACAACCCGACAATTCTAAGTTACAATGCCCTTATTCAAGGATTGTGTAAACATGGAGAGGGAACTCGTGCAGAGGAACTGCTTAAAGAAATGGTCAGCAACCGTATCACCCCAGATGATAGTACATATATATCGCTGATTGAGGGGCTGAACGATGTTGAAGACTTCGTAAAAAGTGAGAATATATGAATATGTGCGTCTACGTCACATCATCTGTCAACAAAATTGCTATGACGCATGGTGGATGTTCTTATGTTGGGTTGTAATATCGTATGTGCGGCATTAAATTTTGGAGCATGCTTTTTTGGCTTTCAGGCACTTACTACCTCCAGCAAGTATTGTTCATTTCAAGTATGAAACAGCCAACAGGTGCATATTTCTTACCTCAAGTATTATGAGTTACTTCTCATTGATTTCATAAGGAAAAGGAAAAGGGGAAAAACGTTTATTGGGTTCTCCCTCCCACTAAATGGTATGTATGAAGTTTATCAAACCAAAACTTGAATGACATAATCAAATTGCTTGTATCGATGTGCTACCTCTTCATGGATGCTTCTTATGACATGGTTTGTGTATGTGAGTATTTTGTGCTGGGCTTGGGGCCTTATTGAGCAAGTATGTAAATAACGATTGGATTCGAGAATATATATGCAAGTCTGGGGTACGTCAGATTCATGTCACTGCTGTAGTACCTTCATATGTTGCATAGTCAATATTTTTATTATGCATACTGTGCCATGTTGCGAAAATTTCTTGCTATCCATCTAAGCTAGTTTGTTGTATGGCTGATATTTTACCAATATGATCTTTAGTCTTTGTTGAACCTAAATTTTCCCCCCTAAAGTATATTAGGTTGCTAAATCTTGTTGTGCTTTATTGATTCATCCAAAGGTCTGATGTCTACTAACAAATAGTTGATGAACGTGAATTTATGGTGCATGCTGATGTCTGTCGACCTCAGGAGTTCAATAAGCATTGCTGCTTACATCTTATTACCAATGAAAGAGGCGCAGTTCCAATACCGGTATCCTTGACATTACTATGGGTCTATGATTACATAGTGTAAATATGTCTGCACATTTATATCCATGAAGAAAGTACGATCTATTCTTATTGACAACTTAAAATTTGAAACCGCTAACTGTTTCGGGTCCTTTAGTACTAACTGGTAGCTGTCTCAGTTAGCCAGCTAATTGCTGGGAAAATAACAGAATTAGTATAAAAAATATCATGAGATATAAACCACAAGGGAAATAATAATATCAATAATGACGAAGGCATAGTTCTATTACCAAGTGTGGATCGAGCTCTCAACAGTTCACAGGTAAAGGTCTAAACTCATTTCCCCTCATTATATAATAACAAAAAACATGAGATACAAATCTCAAGATAACATAACAAGAATGACGAAGGCATAGTTCTATAAGCAAGCGTCGATCGAGTCTCTCCTCTATGGTTCACAGGTGAAGATCCAAACTCACATTTTCTGTCACATGTGCAACCTCGCTACTCAGAGACCTGTGCAAGGACATTGTAGCGACCAACCTCTGGAGAGGGACCCGCTTATTGTGGGCGTTCTGGTGACCGTCGAGGGCTTGGGAGGTTGGGAAGTTGCGGAGGCGGTAGTGGCACTCAAAGCTGTGGATGGGGTCCACTACGACGACTTTGGTCGGGATAGTAGATTCTCTTGGTGAGCTTTTGTTGGTGTTGATATTGCTTCTGCAGTTGGTGCAGCTGTTGGTATTTTTATAATCAACGTCAATGCCAAAAATACGAATGATGGAGGAGGATGAATTGTTTTGTTGTGGTGGTTGGATGAATGGAAGTCCAGAGAAGGATTCAACGATCGTGAAGTTGTCGGTCTGTTGTAGTGGTTGGATGAACGGGCGCTGAGAGAAGGATTTGACGGCCATGGAGTCATCAGTCCGTTTTGACGGTCTGATGAATGGAAGTTGAGAGGAGGACTCGATGGCCATGAAGTTGTTGGCCTGTTGCGGCAGTCGTAAGAACGGAATCTGAGAGAAGGATTCGACAACCATAAAATTGTCCTTCTGTTGTGGTGGTTGAATGAATGGAAGCTCAGAGAATGATTCAACGACCATGAAGTTGTTGGTTTGTCTTGGCAGACGATTGAATGGAAGCTGAGAGGAGGATTCAACGGCCATGAAGTTGTCTGTCCGTTGTGCCTGACGAATGAATGGAATTTGAGAGAAGGATTCGACGTCCATGAAGTTATTGGTCTGTCGGTGCATTCGAAGGAGTGGAAGCTTAGAAAATGATTCGATGGCCATGAAATTGTTGGCGTGTTGTGGTCGGATGAACGGAAGCTGAGAGAAGGATTCGATGCTCGATTCTGGCATGTTTACAGGCAATCAATCTGGTGAGTTTAAGATGTTGACGTGATATGGGATAACGGTGGAGTTGGAGTTTATGCAAGAAAAAGGAGAAGGCTTGGTTTGGTTTGGAGCTTTGAGGGAGGGTGTTGACAAGTGCAGCTGCACGTTGCTGATGGATTGCCTCTCAAATAACAACCAAGTGCCTCTCTTTCTCCGCATCTCTCTCATCTGTATTTTTTCCCACCTCTTTATAGTTGTTGCCTTCATTATGTTTACCTGCACAGGAGTCTGAAATGGTCCTGCAATTGAATTAGGTGATTAAGACTAAAGATTGTACACAGGAATGTGGTCCTGCAATTGATTTAGGTTGTTCTTCCATTTTTTTTTTGACCCTTGATACATGCATATTAAAACTTCAGCATAATTTGTAGGATCTTTGAGGCATATCACTTCTAAAATCATCACTTAATTAGCATTTGCTTATGTACTTCTCGAAAGTTACTAAATATAGATACACCTTCTAAAAGATATTAAAAGTTTTCATTTATATATGTAGGAAGTTGAAAATCAGATTAGTTGACATTTTTTTATTACATCACCCTTGTCTTGTGCAAAATTAGATTCCTATTATGAGGGAGGAACATCCAGAAAAAAGGGGCACCTTCAACACGTTTGAGTACTAGGATTCTCTTTTATATTTCAAGCTCTTAGTCACTGTAGATTGTTCCATTCAACTGTAATTCTCTGCCTCAAGTTTTTGAGTGGCTTTGGCCAGTACCCAATCCTGGCCTCCCCCGACGTGCTTGTGTGCGCAAGCCACTTAGCGCGCAAAACCTTACAGCCCCGAGACGAGCCATTTTTAGCTCTTCTTGTTTCCCGAGGCATCCACCATCAGAGCTATGGAGCATCTTAGTTATCATCTCTAAGTTCTGTTGCTAAGATTTTGTCATGCCGAACCCCCAATGCCCCATGGTTACCACGATTTCTTGTTACCAAACAGCTCTGGCTATATTTCTCAAGATGGCCTACAAGCTAGATTTTCATGCGCTATGAAAAGCTGTGAATGATTGTAACTCATGCAATTGGCTCTCTTAAGCTTTTAATTTTTGGCTGTTGGAGGCAGGACCGCAGGTGCTCCATGCATCCACAGGATTGTTGTTTTGGCCTGATCATCTTTAGAAGGGTCGGTTACTAATTTCAATCTGACATAATTCATGAGCCAAGACATAAAACCATTGTCTTTAGAAGAATTGGTAATTTGATAATGTTGATTAATAAGACGTGAACTTCTCCCTGAAAACTACAGGCCCTTAAAATAAATCCAACCATTCCCTCTGCTAATTATTATACCCTCTTAAATTACATGGACCCACCACTATCCTTCCTTTATAAAGAGATGCAGTGATGATCGGACTATATAAACTCCAATTTTTTGTACTACTATTAGAAACGAAAGTTTACATCTTTGGTGCTCATCAAGTTTGTTGCCCACTTTACTTTTTTTTTTTTTGGGTTCAAAATTAAGATGAAATATGTAATCTAGTTAGTTAACATAAGATATCAATCTCTTTCAGGGGGGTTGAGCAAATCTTTGTTCATATTTCCTTGCGTATAAGGACACAAATTAACTACCACCTCCAAATGAAGCAATGCCAAGGCAACTATCCTGCACAATTAAGCTTCCGAAAGTGGCGCATAACCAATAAAATGGAATGTAGGGAATAAGAAGAAGGACAAATTTAAGCTGAGACATTGACACACATTGAGATTGTCCAAGATGCAAATACCTTTTTGAGGTGGATAATTATCTCATTTCACAGTCAATACGGATGAGACTTGGTCCCTTAAAAGCCAATGTGGTGGTGTTATGGTGTTATCAAGATATTAGAGGCTTATGTTGTTGGAAAAGAGAGATTAATCCTAGGACCACTAAATATTAGTGCAAAGGTGATGTCAATCCACATGGAGAGGGGGGGGGGGGGAAACTTAGAAATGGTGAATATAACAACAAAACAATTAAATACATTGGCAGCATTAAGTATGAAAATCTATCGAAACACAAAGGTTATGCATCAACTTAGTAAAAATGGCGTAAAATCTTTTGATAACATCAAGATAAATTAGATTGTAAACGGACACAAAGAACAACAACTTTTCTTTACCTTGGTTTAGGTAATATCGGTCTTAGATTGAAGGACCTGTACCATTTGCTTTAGATTGAAGAGAAAGAGTTTTGGAATTTCTCCGTCGAAGGCAATAGAGAAGATCAAAAGGTATTGTAGAAAGAACCTTCTAATCACGATCAAAATTTAATCTTATCGAACTACATGAAGTTGCTTTCAATATGGCGACAAAGTATGATGTATGAGAGATTTTGCGTGTTGTTCTACTCCCTTGATCTCCAATGAATATTACACTCCCGCTACCTTTGGTTGCTTTTGTTAAGATACGAGGAAAAAGATTTGGCTTCTTCTTCACTCAACAAAGTATGTAAATAGACTGTTGTACAAATAATGTGCACGAACACATGAGAAAGCGGTCCTCAGCCTGATCTGTGATGCTCAAATCATCTTCACTCAGTACTTTGAGGCTGCCCTCAGTATTACTATAAACCTTACATAGGAATAAATGGATCACGATTGTGGCCAACATGTTTGTATCTTGTAATATAAAAGCAGTATGATACTTATAGCACAATGCGACTTAGCGTTAAGATATTACCTGAAACAAACAAAATCTTTCTGATCTAAATTACTTGCTTGTAGTATCTCTGCTCTCAACATCCAAGTCAGGTCTAAGCTCAAACATTTTCATATTCTTCTTCCTATTCCTCCAACCCCAGCATCCACCTTGCTATATCCCGGGACCTTCTTCAATCCCCTCTCCGCTGTATTTCTTGTAATCTTCACCGCATCTTTCTAGTTACCAGGTAATACAACAAAACTAGCAACAAGCTCCATAATGCCCCATTGTTGGCTTGATTTTATGCACATTAAACATCCTTTTGAAAAGGGTTAAGCCTTCTTTTACTAAACCTGAGTAACTGCAAACAGTGGAAAATAGTAGATTCTCAGGCTTTGGTCCTTTTTCTTCAAGCTTACAGAAGAGCGCAATGGCTTTCTTTTTCCACGGCCATTATCAGAGAATCCAGAGATGATAACTATCAATAAATGATAGTAAGCTTATTAAGGTCACCATGGTAGGACATTATCCCATCTCATTTGTCAGAGATCACTAGAGCTTCAAGAGAATGATCGCTGCAAAAAGAACATATGTCCTGCATTAGAATATGGGAAAAAAGAATACATTATTATGAGGAACTTCTTTCGTTACAGAAACCCTCCAATCAAGAGTAGAATTAGCAATTAGAGGTATGAATTTGAAACAACTTATGTGAATTGGGGGACCTAGTAGCAGAATCAATGATTCAATGGTTCGAGGGATTTATTTCAAAATATGAAAGATTTAAAGTACTAATATCCAAAAAGCCCTTTTCGTTTCTACAGAATTCTTAGAAATCCATAGATAGTAGAGTTCACATCACATCAAAACATCAAGAATACTAGGAAATAATATTATTGCATAATTGCGCTAGTCTTAAAAACATTATTGAACCAATAAGACACCTAAAAGAATGAATATGAGAGAGAGAAGGACAAGAAGATAGTTAGGGAATTAAATTCTCAAAATCAAATTTAACGAAAACTTGACCATATTTGCAGATCCATTTAGGCACTAGATCCTCAACAACACAGTACTCTACTTCAATTATAGTATTTGAAGATATAATCAATTGTCTTGAATAGCATTTACTTCCCCATCTACTTATGCATGTTTTTAAACAAACATTCAATATGTACTTCTGACTATCCTCATTTTGTATGCAGCTGCAGCTGCAACTGCAAGGAAGCCTAAAATACTATTGTAGCTACAATATTTAGCCATAAAATACTAACCAAACTTCTTCTTCTTTGCATTATGATCGAAACAACACGTAGCTCCAACAAGAGTTAACCAATCTCAAACTTCTTGTAGCACTGACTCCCAAATTTAAGTCAAGATGTACATTTTTTGGGAAGAGGTTGTTGTACCTCTTATTCTTGATATCTTTTGCTATCTTTGGTTCCCATATTAAACACGAGGAAGAAGATATTGATTGTTCGTATATTTACTTCACTAATGGTCTACAAGCAGATTCTCGTACAAATGTACTGTACAGAAACACATGAAAATTTTCCTTTCAGTTTGAACTATGATGCTAAAGCCATCTTGACTTTAGTATATTCGAGAATGCTCTTTGTATGACGTGAAAGAAGTCAGTGATGCTCGAAGGAACCAATTAGTTGATGCATGTATTGCTCAAATGAACAACAATAAAACAAATAACACACATAACACTCTCTGACCTTGCTCAGTCGTTTGTGTGTATTGATTTTGTATGCTTGATGAACATAGCTTTCTTCCATCAGTAAACCTGGAAAAATCAAAGATCACTAACTGTTATTCTCTATAAAGAGGCAAAGCTGATATTACCCTTATCATGAAATATCCCATGACTCCTTTACTGGTTGAGTAAAATTATCTACATTGGCACTACTGGTCTTACAAAAGCTTTCATAAATAAAAATGCACGGATATCATTTCTTTTTTTGGTTTGACGAGGGAACTTCCCCACGATCCTTTGGACAATGGGCATCAAACCCCGGGCGTGACTTGCATCTCCCAGCGCACGGCCTTGGGTATTCCAGGAAATTAAATTCATGTGGGTGCCCCAGGAGAGTCGAACTTGCCATGTTGGAGTACTACTCATAGGCAACTTACCAACTCGGTTAGACCTTCTTGGATACATGGATACTTATTTTAATTCACAAAAGAAACTAAAAAAACTCCACATGTTTGCATCTTCTAGTACAAAAAGTAGTATGAGATTTGCAGTGCAACCAACATTATTCTTACTAATTTGAAGAGATTACCTGTTACGAATTGTATCTGTCTGATCATAATTCATTGCCTATAATATCTGTGATCTCCGTATCCAAGTAAATCATAAGCCAAAATGTTTTTACATTCCGCCCCCAAAATCAACCTTACTACATCCCAGGACCTTTTTCAATCCCCTTTCAGCAGTGCTTCTTCTAATATCCACCACATCTTTCCATTTACCAGAAAATGCAGCAAAATTAGCAGCAAGAACATAGTTTGCATCAAGATCAGGTTCTTCTTTAATCAACGACTCCATCAATTCACCCTTTATATCACAGAATTCTCCAATTTTCCTGCAACATCCCAATAGTGACCTCAATATAACTGCATTTGGCTTGACAGGCATTTCCTTAATGAACTTGTAAGCTTCTTCTATTAACCCTGCTCTTCCCAACAAATCCACCAAGCAACCATAATGCTCCATTGTTGGCCTGATTTTATATACACTAACCATTCTTTTGAAAAGGTTTAAGCCTTGTTCAACTAAGCCTGAGTGGCTGCAAGCACTTATAACAGTGGAGAATAATACACTGTCAGGCTTCAGACCTCTTTCTTCAAGCTCATGGAAGAGACCAATGGCTTCTTTTCCACAACCATTATCAGCGAATCCAGATATCATGACTGTCCATGATTGTAGGTTTTTCTCTTCCATGGAGGTAAAGATTTGGAGGGCTTCCTCTAAATGGCCACATTTAGTGTACATGCCAATGAGAGCAGTTCCTAAGGGAACATCCAGTTTCATACTGCCTAGTAGTATGTAGGCGTGAATAGATTGACCAATTTTGAGACTATTAAGCTTGCTGCTAGCTGAGAGTAAGCTTATGAGGGTTACTGAGTTAGGTTGGACATTGTTCAGTCTCATTTGCCTGAACATCATAAGCGCATCAAGAGGATGATCACTAAGAAAGGAAGATATGATCTGTATTAGAAAATGAGAAGAAGAAAAAAAAAGAACAATGTTTTTTGATAATGAGGGACACCCTTTGTTATAGAAATGTTATTAATGACAGCAAACAGATAGATATTAATATGATTTGTACTCCGAAAATTTTAATTTGACAACTTGCGTGTAAAAAGAACATCTGATGCAAAAAAAGCTCAAAGGCTAGAACCCAAAGGTAGTGTGGTCTGAACATAAAATATATTATGTACTGAATGAGAAAATCTAACGACTATAACATCATGAACTTTGAAATAGCATAAATCAAGAGTGTTTCCTCTCTTGTAGAACTGCTGCATAGTAGCATAAGCTCCAAGCTCATGGCCAGCCAAAGCTGCTAGCTGAAATCAAAAGTTTGCGATGAATTATGGAACACTTTAGGAAATTAGGACAGCAACTGAAATATCCAAACTGCAGTTCAGTTATTTATCAAAGCATCAAAACAACAGTACTTGGAGAAATAATATAAAATCAAAACTGTTAGTTATCAAATTAAAAACAATCAAATGTTAGTTTGTAAATAGTAGCTCATGAAGTCATGTGGAAATCAAAGTTTACTAAACTTCAAATTTCATTATTTTTTACCAAAATAAACAAGCTAAATGTGAACCAAAATAAGCAAAAAACGAAAACAAAACTACCTACCAAGAAACGTATCCATCAATCATAGAGCTCCAAGAAACCACATTTCTGCCCCCCATTTCATCAAACACCTTGCGGGCACACCCGATAACCCGGCAAGAACCATACACATGCAAAAGGGTATTCCCCACATAAGAATCCGACACGAACCCAGATTTCAGCACTAACCCATGAACCGTCCTCCCTTCTCCCAACATTGAAGAAGAGGCACAGGCCTTGAGGACAAATGGGTATGTGAAGTTGTCGGGTCTTAAGCCGGCATGGCGAAGATCCGATAAGAGGTCGAAGGCTTGAGGGGAGTTCTGGGTTTCGGTGTAGACTCTGACGAGGGAGTTGTAGAAGAAGACAGAGGGGGAGGTCTTGAGGAGGAGAGCGTGGAGTTGGAGGAAGTGGGAGAGGCCTGTCGACCGTTGGAACAAGGATGGGAGGTGGCGGGAAAGAAATGGCGGGAGCTCCATCGAGGTGCTGTTTAAAAAATTTTGCTTTTTTTTTAAACAAAAAACTTTCTATTAAGGCTAACGATCCAGTGCAAAATATAAAGCTAACGGTTGTAGTACTAACTGGTGCGCATGGCATCATACGAACATCTTAACTACTTTTAAATATATTCCAATTATACTTTAAAATAGAATTATTTTCGATTTTAATAGTTCGATTCAACAAAGATTAAAAGTTAAAATGTTCTAATATCAGTTTGCGAGTATCACAAGGGAGAGATCGACGGAAAATGTCACGCTTACATTACATAGGGTACTGAAAGTGCAAATTTTAGAAACTTTAGGGGATACAAATTCTAAAAAAACATGTGAAGCTACATAAGTGCAAAATAGGGGAACTACAGGTTATGTAAGTGCTAATTATTCATTATTTTTCAGTAAAATAATTTATTTTTGCATTAGTACTATTCTTTTCACAATAAAATTGTAGATATATAAACAATAATATTGAAGTCAATTTCCTAAGAAAATATTGCAAGAAATGTTTGTTGAAACTCCGTGGCAAAAACTAGGAATCCTACGACAACCCTGCACGTATAAGGTTTCACGGGCCAGGAGGTAATGAAAGAGATGGCCAAACGGGGCAGGTCGAACCGTTTCGACCCGTCTAAATTCGTCGCGTGAACTCGCAAGAGCCGGATTCAAGCGGGTACGAGATGGGTGTAGACCCGACTCGTTTATGAGACGAGTTGACCCGACTCATCTCATGAACAGTAAATGAGACGAGTCTGACTCATCTTGTCACGAGTCAGGAGACGTGTTGAGTTGGGTTAAATTTATCCCAACCCCCGGTAGTAATTTTTTTAAAAGCCCTTCTACACAAGCATTGCTTAGATAAGAAAATTGACGTTCAGCCCAAAAGACAAAAAAAAAATTAAAGGCCCCCAACATCTAAAATAGGAGAGAGAGAGAGAGAGAGAGGCCGCTAAATTAATAGGCAGTGCAAAAAAAAATTTAGGCCCCTAATGGCTCAAAAAATAATCATTAGAGAGTGAGAGTTGCCCCGATAGAGCCGTTTGTGTGTGTGTGTGTGCGTGGGGGAATTAAAGGCCCCCAACATCTAAAATAGGAGAGAGAGAGAGAGAGAGAGGCCGCTAAATTAATAGGCAGTGCAAAAAAAAATTTAGGCCCCTAATGGCTCAAAAAATAATCATTAGAGAGTGAGAGTTGCCCCGATAGAGCCGTTTGTGTGTGTGTGTGTGCGTGGGGGGGGGGGGGGGGATTGGAGAGTGAGAGACTGTCACAACTGAGTCGTTTGTTGGAGAGGGAGGGGTGCTGCTCAGTCAATAGCGAGCAGGGACAACTAAAAAAATAAATAGATAAATCATCCCCCATCCCGACCCCCACCCCCACCCCCACCAATCTCATGAATATCTCCCTGGGCTAAATCTCATTCATTCTTCACAACTCAAACTCTCATCTTCTACTATAGTATCAACTCTCATCTTTTTCTCCCTCTAGCATTTACAACATCTCATTTTATGGAGCACTACAACTCTTCTTCTGGGTGTTTCTTTAGAGTCTCGGACAATTCATCGGGAGCTTACACTTCTTCAGTTTTTTTGCCAATATATTCGTCAATGATTATGTTTATTTCTTCTTATTTCTTGTAATTGGTACACTTGTGTTTCATTATTATAAAATATAAAAAATAATAATACAAATAATATTAGTCTAAAGAAAAAATTTTGAAGAGCCAAAAAATTAAGAGGGGAAAATAAAGGAAAATTGGAAAAAAAGGCTCAATTCGTTAGACAAGTCTAATTCGTCTCTCCACCACGAGACGGGTCACCAATTGGGTGTGAGGCTCAATTTATGGTAATTCAACACGAGATGAATTTGATTTAGTCTTGCTTTGGATTCGTACGAGAATTGACTTGATTCATATCAGATAGTGACTACTTGGCTCAGAAACTCTAGCAGTAGTTCTGATCAGCTCTTTCAACCATAACAAACTTTTAGGGGGTGTTTGTTTCAAATCCTATAATTTTAGGATATGGATTTCACCATGTGATTTGAAATCCATAAGTAATTTGTTATGGGTTGGGATTCCTAAAACTTTGTTTGTTACAACAATATTTTGGGATTTAAAATACTATAATTTATAATATTTTTGTTTGTTTCAAACTTTTTGGAATTTGAAATCCATCCCACATCCCACATGAAAAAAAGATTTTACAAATCTTTAAATATATTATTTTTTTATTATTTAGGGATTTAATATCCTAAAACTTATTTTGAAACAAACAAGTTTTATAAAATTCTAAAACCCCAAAAAACATCTTTTTACATCACAAAACTTAAAATTCACACCATATCCCCAAAAAAAAAAAAACAAACACCCCCTTCCACATCCCACATGAAAAAAAGATTTTACAAATCTTTAAATATATTATTTTTTTATTATTTAGGGATTTAATATCCTAAAACTTATTTTGAAACAAACAAGTTTTATAAAATTCTAAAACCCCAAAAAACATCTTTTTACATCACAAAACTTAAAATCCACACCATATCCCCAAAAAAAAAAAAACAAACACCCCCTT